AAACGCCAGGCACATACACCACCAAGTAGTAACGGAACACCAGGCACATACACCACCAAGTGGTAACGGAACACCAGGCACATACACCACTTACAGGTAACAGAACACCATAACGCTACACCATTTATTGGTTATGCAAAACCAAGGACACTGCACCAGTGTCACATCTCTTATTACTACTAGAACAACCTGCACACTACACCTTCTCTAGACAACACAAAACCAGGTACGCTATACTGTCAATAGGTAATGGAACACTTGGCATGCTAAACCACTTAGAAGTACCCGAATACCAGGCAGTCTACACATCTTAGAGGTAAAGGAACACCAGAACCTACCATGGAAACCACACTTCACCACTACTGAGCATCGAAACACCAGATGCATTACCCCAATGATAGATAACGGAACATCAGGCGTGTCAAACCACTGAAACGTAGCGGAACACTAGGTCCGTCCCACCACTAACAAATACCGAAACACCAAGCACGCTACACGCCACTTATTATAACCGGATTATTCGGAACTGTACAACACGTAGATGATGAAAAAAGGGAGAACAAAGAAAATAGGGACAGTTAACCGGTAAACAGACGCTCAGATTAGGTAGAATCAAGGACTCCTCAACAGACAACCGGAAAACAGACTGACAAATAACCGGTAAACAGGGTGACAGATAACCAGTAAACATGCTGACAAATAACTGGTAAACAGGCTGACAGATAACCGGTAAACAGTCTGACAGATAACCGGTAAACAGGCTGACAGATAACCGGTAAGCAGGCTGACAGACAACTGGAAAACAGACTGACAAATAACCGGTAAGCAGGGTGACAGATAACCAGTAAACATGCTGACAGATAACCGGTAAACAGACTGAGAGATAACTAGTAAACATGCTGACAGATAACCTGTAAACGGGCTGACAGATAACCGATAAACAGGCTAACAGATAACCGGTAAACATACTGACAGATAACCGGTAAACAGACTGACAGATAACAGGTAAACCTGCTAACAGATAACCGATCAACAGGCTGACAGATAACAGGTAAACAGACTGACAGATAACCGATAAACAGGCTGACAGATAACCGGTAAACAGGCTGGAAGATAACCAGTAAACAGACTGACAGATAACCGGTAAACAGGCTGACAGGTAACAGGTAAACAGGCTGACAGATAACCTGTAAACGGGCTGACAGATAACCGATAAATGGGTTGACAGATAACCGGTAAACAGGCTGACAGATAACCGATAAACAGGCTAACAGATAACCGGTAAACATACTGACAGATAACCGGTAAACAGACTGACAGATAACAGGTAAACCTGCTAACAGATAACCGATCAACAGGCTGACAGATAACAGGTAAACAGACTGACAGATAACCGATAAACAGGCTGACAGATAACCGGTAAACAGGCTGGAAGATAACCAGTAAACAGACTGACAGGTAACCGGTAAACAGGCTGACAGATAACCGGTAAACAGGCTGACAGATAACCGGTAAACAAGCTGAGAGATAACCGATAAACGGGTTGACAGATAACCGGTAAACAGGCTGACAGATAACCGGTAAACAGGCTGACAGATAACCGGTAACCGGTAAACCGTTAAACTTCTATGCCATCTGCAATTCATTATTTCTCGATTTGGTTCTTCTATCATAGAAAAAAATATTTTATGTGTTGTTATAACTAACCAACACATTCAGAAGGTTTCATATACTATTCGAAGTTACAACAACTTATCAATGTATGTGCATATATAAATATATATACATCGTGCAGTGTACATGTAATTGTAGTCATGGCCAAAATAGGGTGTCGTCGGCCATGTTTTCTATTTAAACATACGGAGATTTTGTTATACGTAGAAAAGTTCAACTCTATCACCATATTAACACGTATTTTGTTTGTATTTATAATTATCTATTTACAACTTCAAATTATCATCCCTCAAAAATGCAAATAGTCGATATAAACAGGGACTTTTTATAACACGTTTAGCGATTTCGGCATAGTTATTGAGGTACCCATTAGAGACGAGAGCGTGTTTCAACCGGAAAGGGAAACTTGGTCATTTCTACATTAACTTGGTCAATCTCACTCATCAAATACTCATTGGAAATATCAAACATTTCTCTTCAAGATGATGTACGTGTTACTGTAATTTGCGGTCTCTTGAATATCGAAAAACACACATAAAAAATCAGTTTTTCCTTCTTGGGAGTTACACCGCGTGTCATTGTAATATATATATATCGACCGTTGGTCGGGAATTCGAGACAAAATCCTGTGGGAGCATAAGGACAATAAAATCCATACTGTTCAATTAAATTACATTATACATATCTTTAATTGATCGTTAATTTCCCAGTTGTTTCATTATTAGTATACATAAACAAAAAGAGGTGTGTTCAAAACAACGAGTATTGATAGCCTTGTACACTCCTAATTCAAAAGGAATGTGGTTCGTTGACAGACGATCAAGGGAGGTAACTCCCAGAAAAAATAACGTAGTACAACAATGAATACGTATATCGTAATAATCATTTCTACAAAGTTTCTTTGTTACCGAACACCTAATTTAGTAGGAGCTGCGTTCACAAGAAAGTCTAGCCAGCTGGACGGACAATGGGTTAGAATCAAATCTGGGGTAAAAGTAGCAACATGTAACGTTGTATCATTATCTGGCACTTCTGGGAAAGGACGTCAGGCGTGAAAAACGGGATTTTTTCCTAATCTAAAATAATGCGACTTGTGTTCAGACGATCAAGCTAGGTTACAAAAGACAATATGAAATTTAAAGCTTAGGGGAAAAATAGCATATTTTAAAACTTTATTTTTTTTAAGTCGTTATTGAATAACATTTAGGTAGCAGTATAAATAGGTTATTACAAAATCACGTCTAAAATTTTGAAAAATCATGAGAAACTATTTACATAAAATCCTTACACAATGGAAATTCCAATTTCGGGACTTGTCCACAGCAAATTGAGCCCACTCAAGCTACATTTTAGAATTATGATTGCTACTTCTAACAAACGGAAATTGTCGATCAAACACTAGCCGGACATTTCCTAAAAATTTTCAACGTGACGTCATGACATGGCCAGTCGCCTGTTACATCGGGCATTTGATAGATAGGTTCATAACCTCAATCAGCGTAATGGAAGGTGAATACTGTATGGTATTATAGGGTGAATAGGTGGCTATATATCTCCTCGTGATCAGGAACCCCAATATTATATTGCCAATTTTGTTTAGTAATTTATAAAATTTATATTAATAATTATTTTTTATATTTTCAAGTCATTTTGTTTTATTTATTTGTTTATTTATTTATTTATTTATTTATTTATTTATTATTATTTTTTTATTTACATATTTATCACTTGAACTCTAAAACGGCAAAATTAATCATATTGTAAAAGGACTGAAACAGCTTTTATAAACACTTGACAATGAAATGGTGTGCTTTAAAGTTTTTTTTACTGGGTGACATAATCATTTTAAAACTGGTTTCGAACTATAATCACAGGATTTACCGGAAAAGAACGCTCGTGACACTTACGTGTGTTACTATAATTAGATACTGATTGACGAGTTGATTACAAAGACACCGATCAAATGGTATTTCCTAATTTTAAGCCATTTCATCTTCTTAAACCTCTTTCCGTAAGTGGCCACTTATCATTCTCATTCTTTAAATCCTGCAATGTGGTAAGTTTTGAAACTTAGAATTACTATCTTGTTTTAAATACTTGATTACTTAAAGAATTTCAATATGAAAAACCGGTATAATAATGCACGTATTCCCCAATTAAACATTGTTTATTCATTTATACGAAAAATTTGTAAGTATGCGACATTAGCCAAAGATATGTTTTTCTAAGTCTTCAAAATATTTGTTTCCGAATTCAGTTTACACTGTAAATATTAACTTTCCCTGTGTGTATTTCTCCATGTCTTGTGTAACAGCAGTATAGATATTGATCACTGGCAGGTTTATCTGACAGAGCGTTTCGATGTTATTTCTGTATTGACGAAAATGATAAATCTAATTGTCCAGAATTGTTTATCTTAAGTGGGATTGTAAAGATTTCAGGCACTGTTAAAAATATAAACTTTATTTATTTTACAACCATTGCGAAACAAGATATGTCAACTTATACTAATCACTCTTGTTGACCCGGTTGTAAGCGCGCGTGGGGTCTTATTGTGGGAGGAAACCGGAGTACCCGAGGAAAACCCATGTGGGCAGGCAGGTAACTTCAGGCACTATGTGATGAAATCGAACGTTTGAATATTTCCATGACGATTTTTTTGTGGTATGAACTCGCATGCAATTTATTAAAAAATAATTTTAAACTCAAAAGATATACATCGAAATTAAATTAAATTGTTATCCTGTTTTTTCTGTGTCTTGTATTTCAATAAAAATGAACAAAACATTGTTTAAACTAAACTCATAAATTGTTTACAATGCTGTTGGTTTTAACTAAGTATATTAAGCATATGTTTGGAGTTTTATCAGTTACATTGAAATATGCCTAAGTGTATAATAGAGTGGACGAGACAGTTTATAAAATTTGCTACATAATTGTACAAATTAACGATTGCATAAGCACGTGAAAATACATCATCCTAGATTTTTTAAGGCAACACTCCAAATCATGCAGTTTCATTAAGTAGTCTACCGGGAAATGATCAGAATTTAGTTTTTCCAGTGTATATAAATAGTATAGTAGGAATATGACGACGTCACGGTGAATTTCATTGGTTGAATTTGAACGACTCACGAGGTCAAACCGATTTCAATCCGCCATATAAGGTTAATTTATGTGAATATGACGTCAATGGTCGTGACGTTTCAATATGGGAGTTCCCCAATGTAAACAGTGACTTCCGGGTCACATGATGAGTCATTTTGGAACCAAAGGTAGCAAGTCAATGTTTAGTCTCGATAATTCGGATTAACACTTCTTATACGATAATTATAGAAAATTTGATTGTTGTCAAGTTCGGAGAATTGTCGTCAGTACCAGCAGTCTTCAGTAGTGACAGGAATCGACACACAGCAGGTTGGTGAAGTACAGACATTTCTGGGTATAAACAGTACGTACATACACATGTTGTGTCTCTATAGAAGACCGACTCCATGTTGTACTTATCTCGACCTCTTGGTCATATTCACACGTGAATTTGACACGTGTGCTTGACCAATATAATACTGAAACAGTCGCACAATACAGTGATAAGACACTTATCGTCATTGTTGTGTATTCTTTAAATAATCTACAGTTAAACATAGTTATCATTGAAATATTTAACTTCTTCATTATGCAATGAACTATAAATATCTTACATAGTACTGTTGTATGTTATAGTTGAAATTTGGTAACTTCAGTATTGATTTGAAGAAATATTAGTTAATTATTGAAAAAGAAAAAAATTAAAATGAAATAAAAATATATCACTCATTTCTTTTATTTTTGTTGTACTGTATAAATCATCTGACAAAATAGGCCAGTTGTCAAAAGAATCTTCCATTTAAAATGTATTATGTGAGAATGTCGTGACCCTATTTCTCATCTTTTTATTATGGTAGTGGAACGACACATTTTGTTTTAAGGGAGAGGGTGTGATATGGGTAATTGCAGAGATTAATGAATGTGAAACTATATATTTGAAGAAAATCGATATAATGAAAATCCTGGATTTACATACTGGTTGATCGGGTCCAGCTTCACTATCTAATACGGTGACATTTTTTCAGCATGACATATATGATGTAACATTATACAGTGTGGTGATATATCGTGTGGTCACATTACACAGTGCTTCCTGGTGATACTATACATATCGTGTATTACGGGTTGTGTATCTGTGAGGTACAGTTACGCCATCATCCGATAAGGTCACGTGCGAAATCGATTTTCACCTGACTGACAATGTGTGGGAGGTGAGAGAAATGTCCGTATCACACGTCGGAACAAGTCGGCACTGTCACATACCAGTATTCGAGATAATAATTGATCTTCTTGTGTACGGATGCAGACGCATTCTTCATGTTCATAATATGATTTTAGTTGTGTAAATATAATTGTATGTTCATCCGCACTTTTAACAAAGATAATTATGCCTACATATACACAATTTTATCAATAACTGTTGACCGAATATACGATATAGACTGTTAGTCCGCACCGAAATGACGAAATTTTTGAGGTATGAGGTTTAACACAAGGATTTCCGTGCTGGTGTAATACCTTTGTCTATTTATAAGGTCATATTTCTAAACTTTCCGGATTCGTAGGGACATTTTTTGTGTATTTTTTTCACTCTTTGACCTGTGTCTTTGAAATGGAGCCCAGGGGGTCGACTCGCTAAGTCATTATCTCAGTACGCGTTTCCGGTTGGAATTGTTAAGTTAGGACTTTAACGACATTCCTGACGATAGAGAGATTCACAGAGGGCTTTCGAGTGTGAAGTGTTTGTTTATCGTTTACAGTACAACTTTACCTTCAGAAATAACGGCAAACAATAAGGTCTGTAACGTTCGCTCGTAAATTCATACTCTTGACTCTAACGATGCTTTAATGGGCATTGGAAAAGCGTATATTTGACCCTGCATTTTCAGTCTTTTTGTGAACTTCATATCGAAACGTTTCTATCAGGACACAGGGACTTGGCAATTGGCAAGTCTGTGTATCCCGGGGATAGAAAAGAAAAATATGACGGAGATAATTTTCTATAGGGAAATAAAAATGGAAAGATATTATCATGATAATACCGTCTTACCTATCATTTTTATTAGATTATTTGATATCCTAAACTGTTTCTTTTCCTATCCTGAACGTCTTGTCAGGAGACGATGGAACCCCGCGTCATCGGCCTGATCGTAATCAACATTTAAGTTTGAGCCCTGGGGCATGAATTGCTCCGTTGGGGAGTTCCTCTGTAATAAGTGTAACCTATGTCACATCCCTGGGGGGTCGGGGTAAGCAAATCAGAGGATATCGGGGAGCGGAATAGGAGTTAAAATCACACGGAAATTCCGTGATATATAATTCCTGCTGTTTATTTTTATACATTGTAATATTTCCTTGTTCGGGGTTTATTATTGCATGTGAGTAATATCCTTTAAATGAGCACTTCCTTGTAAAGTGTTGAATATCACGTCCTAACATTTCTGTTTCCTCCGCAGAGCGAAAACGACCTCAAAACTAAACAAGTTTTTTCCTGTGGCTGACTACATATAATGGAAGGTAACGACTGTGTTTGTCATTTTTGACATTTTCAATGGTCAACGGTGGTCAGTTGTTTATGTCCATTTCCTTAATGTGAAAAAATATCTGAATATTTAAATTAGAAATTTGATACTTATTGAAATTATTTAAAATTATTCAAAACTAATTTTTGAATTGTTCTATTCATAGACAACCGTTTGATAAGCATCGATTGACATTTCTGTAACCCCTATGTGTTAATTGTTCGAGTAGGAATCGTGAAAATTACGTTTCTTTTACAAATGTCCATATTTTTTGTAATATCGACTGTGTGTTCACTTATCATACTGGGTAATGAGAGTGTAGATGTTCCCAGTTTGAAGATAAAAAATAAAATAAAAAATATATATCATCTAAAAAAGCGCGAAGGGGGGGGGTGGCTCTGTCATTTAATAGTAAGAGTTCCTTAACGCATCTGCTATAGCAACGACCGTTATTTTACTTATCTGCGCGAATGTAATGATAAAGTTAAAAACAGCCTGATTTTCCTCGCACCAAACTGAAGTTGTATATAAGGGATTATAGCAAACTCAATCCTATATACTTGAGTATAGTATTGGATGTGCGTTGTTAGGTGCTAATTACATATCACAAAGTTTTTATTCATCTCAAATATCTGTGGAAAAAAAAACCCAAACAGATGCACATTCGATTTTTGTAACGTGCGAAATTCCATGTAAAATTTCTGAAATGTTTGCATTCTTGATCCACTCACTGCGCTTGGGATAAGTATTTATCACACAAAGAGAAACGATGCGTCTGCTAGCCTGTTTGGTTTCCCTGTGGATGGCCCCTCGTATGTGTCGAAGTAGATATGTTGATAAGACAAACATCTAACAGAGGACCCCTGTAACTTTAGCCCCAAACGTCTGGTTCCAGATCCTTACTACTCCACTTTTTCATTAGAATTTCAAGAATGTCCCAAATCTGTGACTCGTCGAGTCGGTAAACGCGGAAGATTTTATGAGATGGTGATGTTTGGATATTTTTTATTTTAGATGTGAGACACTGTTCAGCATCCCCTGCCTTGTCCGATGTGTCTTCTCGTAACTCCTCGGACTCCAGTGAACCCTTGACCAAGCGACTGTGCCTTTCGGCGCCCGTATCAAAGGGTAGGTGTTTTACTGGCAGACGACATGGGAGTCTGGGTGTTAGTGGGTACAGCCCGCGTCTTTGTGAGATAATATTACCGCACCACTAGCGTATGTCACGGAACGCAAGCCTCTCGGGCTTTCGAGATTATAATATAAATACTATGCACTTACGTATTGTTGATAGCGTATGTGGGTGAATGATCGATTTCATTGCTGGATTTATTGAAGTATGATTCGGTAAGTACTTTTAAAATTACAGATGTACATTTATATGTATATATATAAATAAATATGTAAACATACAATTCAAGCTAGGTTTGTGTATATACGTGGAAAATCTAAAATTGAATCTTATGTTGAAATTTCTTTCTATACTGTAGCTATCTTGTAACAAAACTGTACCACAAATTTTCTTTTGTTTTGAAATTTAATTACCATAGTTCTGAAATTAAAGAAGATGACACTATATAAAGCCATGACAAACTGTAATGATCAGGCAACACGCGTTCTAGTTTTGGTGAAACGCGTGACGCCATATGCTAGCAACAAACAAATTTATGTGTTGCCCAAGTTCCCTCTTTAAGTCATTACCTACCATGTATTAATTAGGATATTTGGCAATATTCTTTTTTGAGGAAGATATCTTAATAAAATGGCTGTCACAGGCTAGTACTGCTCATATGTAGACATACTATGTAGACCACACAGCGATACCGAAATGAGACATCGACGGCGCGCTAATCATCACCACATTTCTGTCCAAAGATGGCTACACAAAGAGTGTATACGTCAACAAAAAAGTTAGAATGATACTTGTTTGGGGCGATGTTAGAAACATTTCTTGTTGCATTCAGTTATCATTAACTTTTTTGAATGATATCAGATATTTCATAGTATCAACTGTTCTGGAGTTTTGTTCTTGTGGTAGCGACCCTTGTGTCATGTAATGCTGTTATGGCTTTAGCTTTGTGTTCGGGACAGCAGCTACACAGGCACAGTTGTTCATCTTCACAGAAACTACAAAGAGAGTAACTCTCAATTTCGAAACGGCTCTTCATAAAGGTGACAGTTTTAGGGTCTGGGACGTCCCATGATTAAAATATTAGGGAGTTAGACCCATTGTTCGGATCGTCCTATCTTAAAGGTGTCAGTTTTAGGGCCTGGGACGTCCCATGATTAAAGTATTAGGGAGTTAGTCCTAGTGTTCGGAACATCTTATCATAAAGGTGTCAGTTTTAGGGCCTGGGACGTCCCATGATTAAAATATTCGGGAGTTAGCCGTAGTGTTCGGATCGTCTTATCTTAACGGTGACAGTTTTAGTGTCTGGGACGTCCCATGATTAAAATATTCGGGAGTTAGACCTATTGTTCGGATCGTCCTATCTTAAAGGTGTCAGTTTTAGGGCCTGGGACGTCCCATGATTAAAATATTCGGGAGTTAGACCTAGTGTTCGGAATCTTATCATAAAAGTGACAGTTTTAGTGTCTGGGACGTCCCATGATTAAAATATTCGGGAGTTAGACCTAGTGTTCGGATCGTCTTATCATAACGGTGACAGTTTTAGTGTCTGGGACGTCCCATGATTAAAATATTCGGGAGTTAGACCTAGTGTTCGGATCGTCTTATCATAACGGTGACAGTTTTAGTGTCTGGGACCTATTGTTCGGATCGTCTTATCTTAACGGTGACAGTTTTAGTGTCTGGGACGTCCCATCAATCATGCAGAAATTATTAGGATGTCGGTTTTAGTGACTCGGATGCCTCATTATAAGAGATGTAATAATTATTTACAGTTCTGGACGTCTCATTATTTATATTGAACCTGCTAAGGTTTTTTTTAGCTATAGTGCCCGGGACATCCCTGAAAGTGGTGACGTCATCTTTCGTGCCTCGGGTGTCCCATCAACTATAAATATATTGTTACTAGTTACCAGCGATCGTTTATTATCACATTTTCTTTGCTATGTCTGACAGCCATGTTTGTTTGTTTTTGTAGCCATGGACTCTAACATAACATTGTGGCAGTTTCTGTTGGAGCTTCTTGTCAGTAATCAACACAATCACATCATCCGCTGGACAAACAATGATGGCGAGTTCAAGCTGCTTAACGCAGAGGAGGTGGCCCGTTTGTGGGGTCTCCGAAAAAATAAACATAGCATGAACTACGACAAGCTCAGCCGAGCTCTCCGCTACTACTATGACAAAAACATTATCAAAAAGGTCATGGGACAAAAATTTGTCTACAAATTTGTGTCTTTCCCAGAAATTGTTAAAACAGAAAACAAAATACCATTCAAGGTCAAAATGGAAACATTGGCTCAGGAGTATGGACAAAGAGTACTGCCACACTTTGCTTCTTACAACTCAGTCGACTTAAAATCGTCAGCAAATATGGCGACTTCTACTACAAAAGCGACATGTATTAGTCGTTTACAAACAGAAGTGACATCAGCAGACAGCACCACTCCAAGTCCAGTGACGGTAGTGGCAACGTCTGTAAAAGAGGAAAAGGACACGGAATCCTACAGTTCTGTTAAAAGCAGTTTCACGCCATCTTTGAAATCACGTGACCCCTCTCCCTCATCATCATCCCATTCAGCATCATCGACATCCTTTTCGTCATCCACCAGTACATCCGGTGTGGTATCCAAACCCAAGCCAAACCCCCTTACTCTAAGCATCACAGATGGATCATCTACATCTCTTACTAGTGCTATTACAGGACTTCCTATCCCCAGCCCCAAAATCGGACAGACAAGCTACCCCACGCCTATAGTACTTGCCAGTCCCGTGGGGATGGGACCCCGCACCCCATTCCTACATTTCTGGAGCTCACTAAGTCCTATTGCGACAATGAGTCCGCGAATTGGTGCCAACTCTGCGTTCCAGTTTCCATCCTTTGCCAATAGTCACATGACTCTGTCTCCAATGGCAATCCCGTCGAACTTTTCCAATGTAGAATCTCTAGCCACACCGGCTTGTGTGTTATGACCATTACAGAAAAATGATCGCTAGTGGAACTAAGATCTGGTGCTAGGCTAAAACGGAAACACGTAAACTTGAGGACGTGAATTCATTAACAAGGGTGTTCGGAACCCGTTACCGATGACTCAAATGCCCATTAGGAAGGGGTTAGAGCCCAAATAAGGAGAAGTCGTATACCCCACAAAAAGGGATCAAAGACCCATTATGATGGGCCATGGACTCCTGAAAAATGGCGAGGACCCGTGAAAAAGTGACCAGAAATCCGTCAAAGAGAGGCCAGGAAGGAATCCCCGAATTGGTTTATAAGACCTCGAGAAGGGGAACAAGGACATATTAGCAAGTGTCTGACATTCATTAACAAGGATGTTCGTCTATTTGATATCAGGTTTCTCGTTTCACTTCCTACTTAAAACGATATGATGTGATGTGAAATGAGGGATACGATTTTAATTAGATTGCAAAAATGGGGATCCACAACATTATAGTTTGACCCTTGCAGCTATTATTTCCCTTCAGTTACCTCTATGAATATATTCTCATCCATATTTTGAACAAGTTATCTGTTGCTTGAAGTCGATGGTTCCAACTTAATTTCTAAATAGAAATCCGTGTTATTATAAAGGACGCGCGTCACTACTTGTGTATGATGCAACCAAGTCCTTAACTTTTGTTTGACTTCTAGAATATCATTCTACAAGGAGACGATTTAAATGTCATATTAGTTTGATATGTGTCCCGTAATATGAACAGGGTTCTGTATAATAATCTGACCCGGACACTTGAGATTCCGGATACTTGCGGTATCGTTTTATTATATGTTAAAAAGTTCTCGTAATTTAAATGATTACCAGACATGCATTTGTAATAAGGGAACAAGTGTTTTGTTGATATTTGATATGTGATACCGGTTAATATTGTTTTGTTTATTTCTCATGCTGTTGAGAATGATTGTCCTTCAAGTTGGGAGGGAGATGTAATGTCAGTTAGACTATAGAGTTTTATTGAATATGTCTTTTTTTAAGATTCCATTGTTTTATTTTGATAGTAGAATGGTTTTTCAATAATCTTTTTATGCGTTCGGTTTTCTATAAATTTATTTTCCGTAAAAGAAACTACAAAGCTCTCTCTTTTTTCCATAACAAGAATTTGTGTTTGAACAATTAGTCAATTCTGAGGGGAAAAAAAATCATGCGAACGTTATGATTAGGTTCGAGAGTTTAATTCTCACAATTTCTTCATTACGTTAGATATATTGAATTTGTTTTGTGACTGTATTACCCATGCCCAACAGTCCTCTCCTTTGACGGTCATTAATATATACAAATACTTTTTTGTCGTAAAATATTCAGGGGGAACAGATTTTGACCATCTCAGAATGTTTTGTCTATGTTTGTTTTCGTCACAGGGGATTGGTACGAACATTTCGGCTTTAACGTGCATTACAGTAAAATGTACACGTACTGCCTTTTTATGAATATATTAGTTGACGAGTCTGATTGTATAGAACTCGTGCCAAGCCCCTGTGTTTATTTTGTAGTTTTTATCCTTTGATAGTGCTTTGAATGTGATTTTTTTTTATCTTTTTAATTTATAATGCCAAGTTATGTCGCTTTTATATATACGTGACATGAAAAAGACTAAGAAGCTCTGACGAGTGTCACCAAGTGGTGCGAAAATCTGTCAAAATAGTATATTTTATATTTCATGTCATTTTTATGCATTTTAATATTATTATTAAATAACACAAAATGAACTGAATTGATTTCATGTTATTTTTATAAAAAAAATTCTGATTTTGTTTTTTCTCCAGTTAATCTGCTTTGGTACAAGCAAAAATCAAACTCTGATAGCGAGAAGTCAAAATTACACAATACTAAAGAGCAACGTTTAAGTATTTATGAACAAAATGTTGTAAGCATAAATGATATCAATATTTCATCAAGAGATGACATTACAAATTTGAATCAATGTCAATAATATATTGGTATCTTAAATCTGACTAGTTTGAACACATTAGCGGATAATACATTAACTCAACTCACGCAATTGACAAAACTTGTTTGATTCCTAAGAAACTAGAAAACTACAGCTTGTGTTCCTATCACATAACCCCCACTTCCACCCCTCTCGTTCATCCCCTCGAATCAACCTAACAATCTTTTTTTTTAAATATCATTTTTCAATCATACACCTTGTTTTCTATATGATAGAATCGCGACAACAGGGATTTGTCTCTAATCCCCCAACCCAAGACGGAAATGTTCTATGTAATCGCGTAATGTGAAGTTTATGAAACTGAAACATCGATGCTTTTTCAAGATACGTTTATGTTTGTTTCTTAAAGATATACTACTTAGCTAGTCCCAAGTGTCAACAATTAGCTTAACTCGAATTGTGCGCATCATTTATTCGATGTGTTACGGTTATTATCACGAAAAAGAAAAACCGAAGAAAGATTCTCAGAACCCTTCGAACGAACTTGTCATCTGCCCGTTACATTATCGTTAGTCAGAAGGTTTCTGACTATCTATCGACGATTTCATTTTTGTCATGATCGCTGTTGAAAGTCAGAATTTCTCTGTATAAATTTAGGCTAAATTCCAGCGATCCCAGCAGAGGTCGAGATGCAGGCAATGTTTTAAATAGTTTACAGCAGCGCGATAGTTAAAAATCATAAATCGATCAAGATCAAACATTTTTCTTCTAACTTGTATATGTGTCGAAACATTTAAATATTATTAACTAATGATTTCAATTCATTTCTACCAAAAACTTCACTTTCTAATAGATTTATAGTGGCCGCTACTATTCGGAATCTCTCTAGACTTGTTCTTGTAATCTACCATTGCGGCCAATCTCGATAGACTTAAATTTTTCGTAGGTTTACTGTTGTAACATGAGACATTTGTGAGTTACTTTGCCTGCAGTTTGCACGTGCTGCTGCAACCAATACAATTGATAGTCTTCTTTTCGTGTTCTATTATCCATCAACGTAAAAAAATATCATGATGACGAACACATTCCACTGAACATAATTTCCATTTTTAACTGTCATATTTGATATTACATATTTAGTGTAAATACCTGACAAGTACCCCAATATCTCACTTCTAGAAACAGTCCACTACTTTAAAAAGAAAAAATAGATTCTGCGGTAAAAAAACAAAACATAGCGATTCCTTCAGTCATAACAGACCAAGAAAATCCAACATGGACGATGAAGGTCTTTGTTCAGGAAAAACCAAAACGCATACCGCCCATTGGTTATTTCATTGTTTTTTTCGTGCGAGTTTTCCTCCAACATCCTACAACATTTGTTTCCTTGTATCATAGCAAATGCTCTACAGTGCTTATGCTATTTTCTTATTAAAGATAAAATTTGATTTCCATACATATGTAACAGAGGTCATTATCAATTTCAATGCCTCCGCTAGGAATCGAACCCGGGACCCCTGTCTTACTAGTCTGACGCTCAATCGATCTTATCCTTCTTAATAACTCATCAAAATCATGTATTCTGTCATAAAGATACCTCGTTTGGCTCTTGAGTTTCTCACAACGAGAAACGTCCAAAACTTGTGGCGCAATGAATCATTTTTCGCTACATGTTCCAATGATCCATTTTCAGTTGTTAAACGTAGCAATAATTTGAGTCGGCGCCCAAACATAGTAACGGACTCGTTTGGTTTTTGAGAGTTAAAAAATTCCTGCATGATCATACCAAACCAAAGTTTCTTGTTTTTTTTAAAATATCAGCAGGGGTAGTTCTGTCTTCCAAAGAAAACAAACTCGCAATGATCGTCGAATTGTCTGTAATAGCTTACTTGGAGACACCTCCGGATCACTGATTAAGAACCGGACACTCTGTATATGAGAGACATCCTTCTTCAATACATCACCAAAGGACTGAGGGTCGGGTGTAAGTTGCCACAGTCGCATATGCTCATCAGGTCTTTATATATATTTCAATGCCTCCGCTAGGAATCGAACCCGGGACCCTTGGCTTACTGTTCTGACGCTCAACCGATCTAGCTAAAGAGAATTTCTCTCTAGTCATTCTGTATTTTACGACAATTATTCTACCAGGGTTACATATACAAATTCGAACACTATTCAAATAAACGTACATAACGAAGGGGTCGGTTAATAGTAAGCATGAATTTGATATATCAATGAATAAAGGACAGAACGAAAGTGTGTCGTTTGTAGGGTTGATAGCTCCGCGAACAGTCAATGTCATTTTGAAATGAGGGTCCCCTTGTAGTAGCTGGTTGATACCTCATAGTACAACACACGGGAGGTCCGTCACGTGCCATCCACGGCAATTAGTTTAAAGTGTTTCGCCTAAGGATACAACCACAACCCAGAACCGCCTAATTCATACCAATCGCCACTAGTAGGGAGTGTAGCGCGGCCCCACCTGGACGAAGGTAAGAAAGTGTCTATAAGCATATGTACCAGCGACGGATTCTGAATATCTGCCCACGAATATATTTTTACTCGGCCTGATAGCTCGAGTTCCTTGTTTAAGGTACTATATGAGCCAAATGATTTTAATCGGCATTCACGTCATGTTTAACATAATTTACAACAGCGCGATAATAAAACATCACACATCCACTGAAAGATAAACCATTTTTCTTCTAACTTGCATATTTTTAAAGCAATCAAATGCTGTAAACTATATATTTCCATTCATATTGAAACCACGGACTTAGAATAGGCTAAGACCGCGTTGAATTGAGGTATTTCCACATATTTTGCTTAACAACTTGACTTTCAAGTATATTTGATAATCGCTGCCACTACGGAATCCCTCTCGACTTGTCGTTGTAAAATCCACATTGTATTAAAACATGCTATTAACTTGTTTGTCGTTTTGTGCCTGTAACCATTGCCGCCAATCTCGCCGAAAGTTTACTTTTTGGTAGATACCTAAATCAAAGGTGAGGGGTGTGCATTAAAGTGTCACCAACGAAAATATTATTTGATTGATATTGTATCTAATGTTTGATTTTCATTAGGACTAAATAAGAGATCTTAAAGCTAATTTTAAAAATTAAACAATGATAAATTTAGATATAATCGATTGTAGCATTTTCATGATATGATTAATATCAGAATTGCTTGACGATATCGGATGAGTTGGTGACACTATTGGCATCAATATAAGAATTCATTCATGGAGTTCAGTTTTCATTAAGTCTCTTCCAAGCTCTTCAAGTATCGATTCTGCAGCGCTTATATTTTTTCTTGTTCCCAAGAATATCTTTACCCTTACTAGACTGTACAAAGGACACACAAGTAAATAGCACAATTTGATATAGATTTAAACAAGATGTGTTTGTGAAACACTATGCCCCCTGTTGCAACAAAATTCAGAAGTAGGACATTAAAACTGTACTTTGTAAGGCATGTGCTAATCGCATTCACCTTTTCTGAAACGCTTATGTCTTCATTTTGGCATTTATTTTTTTTTACTTTCAAAAATAGTTATATAAAGGTCACGTGTTAAAAATTGTTGGTATCACCAGAAGGGTCTTGTCACAAGGAACACACATGCCAAATATGAAAGTTATATCTGTTCTGATGCAATAGAACGGCCAATGGTTTTTTTAAATGTAGATCAAAGATCACAGTCAAGGTCACATAGTCAAAACGTTTGGTACCATCGGAAGAATCACAAGACTCCAAATGGCAAATATGAAAGCCCTACCTCTTACGGTGCAATAGTTTTATGGGCAATGTTATATTTTTTAAAATGTAGGTCAAAGCTTACAGTCAAGGCCATGTGGTCAAAATGTCCGTTACCACCGGAAAGGTCTTGTCACAAGGATATCAAATATGAAATCTCTACCTCTCACGGTGCAGTAGTTATGGAAAAGGTTAAAGTTGAAAACAGACAACACAAATTAACCTGCATGATACAGCTATTTCGTCCCTCTTGGACTCGGCGTCAGTGATGCGAGTTTTAAAACTGAGGCAACTGAGGAAAACCTAAAGTGATCGAAAGAAATGTTAAAATCTAAATGGAAAGGTACACTAACCCCATAATTCAATAAATATCGTTAATTTCATATAACGTATTATAGTTACATGATATCCAAAACCTGAAATTTTATCTCTTTTCCGTTTTCGGTTATTTTTGTCATAATTAGTATTACGCATCATCGTCACCAGAACGCTTCAATACTATACTCCTCGAGAAGACGCTTGACAGCAAAACACAAATCGTCTGCAGGCGCAGTGCAAAGGCGTCGTTCTCTTTATTATCAAAGTGTCTTGCTGACCGGAACGCACAAGATGTTTAAGGCATTATATGACTACAATTCAAGCAATCCAAAGTATCTGAGTTTCAAAGCAGGAGACCGATTTACTATCATAAATTCAAGTCATGTTGACTGGTTCATCGCTCAAAACGGATTTGGAGAAGTTGGTTACATTCCAAGAAATTACATTACACACGAAGATGTGAGTATGGGGACTACGTAATGTGTCATGATGATAATGCATGCTTAAAACTGAAATAATGAAATATAGAAGGAAAAAAATGAAATCGTCATTGTATGAAATTTCAGAAAGTTGTCAAAGTGTTAGGACGCTCAAAAATCAATAAAGTCTTTGTCTAGTTCTGAATAATTAATATGTTGAGCATGCAATGATTCATCCTGCGGCGGCTCTCGATAGCGGACTGCTACATCTATCTGAACTTCGCGCATTGACATTTCATTATATCAAGTTGATTGGTGACATGTAAATATCAATGTTGCACTGATGCACTCCGAAGTGTCAGTTGTCACATGTCAGATATGTGCTGTTCGTTGTGTATTTGTCAACGCATTTACATTGTGTATCTGCCGAAAAAGCTCAGAATTTCTTTCGGACTTCTAGATTTCTAGACTGATATTCTATTCTCATGAAATGAAGATTGCAATCAGCTTCAGCCAGCTGTCAAAGCAGAAAACAAAAGGGTAAGAGCAGAAGGTTCAAATGTTAGTCATATCTTCAACAGTTGATAGCACATGTGTTTTTAAGATGGGTTTTTTGGTTTTAAAGCTAGATTTTATTATTGATTTATTATGAGTAACTTACAGCAGTAAAGTTATCACTTCAGCATAGTGTATTTAAGGTCATCATTGATCTCATTTGAAAATATTCTATTTCCTTTCACAATGTAAAGAAGGAAATTTTTTATGCCCTTAATGATGGTGTTGTTAACCTTTTTATCATGAACATGTTCTCTGTGACATTGATTACTTGGACAGAAAAAGAAGTAGTTATCATCGGTAAAGTAGAAGATGTTGATCCCTCTGGAATACTTGGTCTTATAATATCATGGTACTTTTTCATGGGTCTCAATGTATATTTTCATTCTGTCATTAGTTTCATGGAATTTGAGTTTGAATTAAGATTCTGTTGACATGTTTGTATTTTCTTCTTAAAAATATTGATCAAAGCTGGAATAAATGAAGGTATCATACATGTTTTTCTTTTGCACAATGTACTTTTTCAAATGCATAAGTTCCAGAGGAACCTATCAAACTTTAAAAAAGAAAAGTTTGATTAATGACAAATGTGAAAAGATGTTAATCACATATCATTATTACCAAATTCTTCACTTTTCAAGAAAATGCATTGTGCAAATGGAAATGTCTCTTTTTTCACAATGTGTCTTAGTGATGGTGATGCTTTTTATATTAGTACTTAGTATTTATAATTACCAGTATTGTTTATTGTTATCTGTAACATTAATTTCTTAAAAATATTTTTATTTGAGTTCTAAAAACTTGCCTTTAACCTTTAACTTTTCCCATTACTTAGAGAGAGTGGGTTCTCATGATATAGACGAGCCCCAGAGACAAAAAGTCTCAGAGTCCCAAAAAGACAAAATGAAAATAATTATCACAGAATACATGCAAATTTTGATATTAATCTGTTTTCTTCAAAAGATGCACTTAACAGGGTTGAAATTACTTGAATAAGTTTCACATTGAAATTAACACATTTCTTCATTAAAATAGTAGACAAATACCATCATTTTTATTTAGGTATTTCTAAAACGGTATATTTTCAGGTCTGTAAACTGAGGCAAAATCTCAAGTGAAATATTGCAATTTAAATTGCTATTGTCTGTTATCCTATATCCTTCAGCATTCAGCTATGGATATTTGATATTTTCAATTTTCTCTAAATCCTTTGAACCAATATTTAAATAAAATTTTGCATGTACATGTACTTGTTATGGTCTAAGGTGAACTGGTATTGTGCAGCAAAAAGGTCCCCAACCCTAGGGTCTGAGGGGCTGAAACAAAAGAGATGAAATTGACTGAAATTTCAAAATTTTCTTCACAAGATCCAGATATGGCAGAATCAAATATTCTCCATTGATTAAAGTAGCTTAAGTTTCTTTATCCAAAATTATGAACTTACATGATAACCTCAAGATCTCACATTTCGCCTTAGGAAGTGGATACTTTGTAATTTCTTTTAGTTCAGTCCTTTTCATGGGTTGGCGGGTGTATTGTTATTATTTTTTATTTGCGTTACGAGTGCATTTTACAATCAAGTAAAGTTATCTCCCTTTATCAAGAAGATGATTTCTATGACATGTTATGTTGCAACAACAAAACCAGCAGCTTTTATAGAGCTCAGGTGACTGTCAAGTCCCATGTACCTTTTGTTTATTTTCAGGTTGCTTTTTCGGAGGTCTTGGAATCCATAGATAGGGCAATACAAGCTATACACTACCAGACAAGTGCAGACAAGTGTCCAAATTCTGCACAACTCCGACAGAACCTCCAGTAAGTATTCTGATCAGGTGATCTGTTCTTGTCTACCAATACCTCGCTCTATGTGAATTCTTTCATACATTTTAGGTCACCTGAGACAAAGTCTTAGGAGGACCTATTAAAATTCCTTTTGTCATTCGTCTTGCATTGTTCATCGTGAACTTTTAATATTTTTTACTTCTTCCACAAAACTCTTGAACCGATTTCACTGAAATTTTACAAAAACCTTCCATAGCTAAATGCACACCAAAACTGTAAATTATATGGTCGCCAACCACCAGGGGCTGATGGACAGGACCGAAAATGGGTCAAATTGACTGAAATTTCGAAAATTCTTTTCTCAATATGCAAATAATGTAGAATCAAATATTCTTCCTGTGTGGAAGTGGAAGTGTCTTATGGTGCTTTTCAAAAATTGTAAATTTCATGAACCCCTTGGTCTCACATTTCATCTTGGGGAAGGGGTTAAATTTACGATAGTGTATATAAGAAAATCACCTTTTTTAGCATAATTTGTTTATGTTTTTTCAGAACAGTTCAAACTTGGTAAGAATTAACAGTTTGAGCTGACAATTTTATAAAATGCTCATATGGACCTCGACTGACCCCCATGGGCTGTTAGATGAGGCCAAAAATGGGTCACATTGACTGGATGGAATATTTTATATAGGAAAATTAAGTTTTTGAGTTTAATTTCTTTTAATTAAATTTTGGTTGCATTGAACGTTTTGCACAGTTTACATTTTACATTTACATTATGCGTGATATGTAGATAAAGTTATTTTTATATATTTTTTTACAAAATTATTTCTATGACATGTAACAAGAAGCATTTTAATTCAGGTAACCATTAATATCCTTGTGCCTCTTGTCTAGTGTTATAAAGCATCATTAGATCTGATTATTTTTATGCATTGACTTAAACCATTTTGATATAGAGATTTATTCCTATAGTTTTATGATTGACATTGTATAGGTTAATTTAACATTGTGTCATAATCTGTTACCATGACAGGACTAAAAGTCATCATCAAAATATAAAATATATGTATCTGATCTGGTTATGTATTTGTCCTATAGAGTTAGTTTATATTCACGCCACAGCAAGTGCTGGATTTTTGTGGTCATCAGCTAAGGTTAAAGGTTAAAGGTCACCATTAACCACTTTTGAAATAAGAAGCTTATATACCAGATATTTCTTACAAACCTCTCAAGTTATTTACATGTAGTTCATATTCACACAGGGAGTGGTACATGACATAATATAATAAGATTATTGTGGTCATCAGTCAAGGTTAAAAGTGAAAGGTCACCATTGACCACTTTTAAAATAAAAAGCTCATATACCAGATATCTCTCACAAACCTGTCAAGTTATTTACGTGTAGTTCATATTCACACCACAGCATCACGCCAAGCTTGGCACCTGATTATATTTTGGTGGTTATTTGTCAAATTTGAAAGTCAAACATAGTCTTGACCACTTTGAAATAAAAAGCTTGGGAAAAAATAATCTGGTTACCTAGCTATCTAGGGTTTGATTCCCTTAGTGGACATGAAAGGGCATGGATGCTACCTGCCCATCCACTTGGATTTTTCTATGGTAATCCTGTTTCCTCCTACAGTATGAACCCTTTGTGCTTACATGCAAGTCAACAAGTTTGATTAATATCAGCTGATATATTGATTCACAATCATTATAAAACAAAAAATGTTTATACATTATACATATCGTAGCTGTTTTGGTAAAATACCAAATAGGATAACAATGTTTTAAAACATAAAACAATATATTTATGCAACTGTTGTTACTGCTTCGCTTCTTTTCAGAAAGCTAACACAGCACAGGCAATCTGTAGTGGAGGAATATAGCAAGAGGTTACCTCCTGCAAATCAGATTTCAAACAACACAGGGCAAGAGACCAGTGAAATACCTAGTCTGAAGAAGTCCAGTCGGTCATCATCTAAAAAGGGTTTCCAGTCCAACAGTGATGGATCCGATCCTTCCTCTCCTACTTCACATGCTGGTACTTGTTCTGATAATCAAGTATTGTTTGACTTATTTGATTTGAATTGTATAATAATAATTTTACTTTTTAAAATAACTTTTCATTTGTATTGTTGTTCAGTATGAAGTTGAGATACATATATTTATGATTAACTTGAATTTAATGTGCATTTAGAAAGTATACATGCGAATAAATCTTTAGTATTTCTACTAGGTACAGACAAAAGATCCTCTGTGCGCCGGAAGGCTCCCTCCCCACCACGTCTATCTGTCACTGGAAACACACCCACAGGGGCCCAGCCAGGGGAAATCACAACTACAGGGGCCCAGTCAGGGGAAATTACATCTTGTATTCCAGAAGGGTCACAGGAGGGAACCTTGAGTCCTGGTTCAGTAGCAGAGCAGGGCACTAGTGACAATGTAAGCTGTAGTGGGGCTGGCGTGGCGTCAGTCCAGGGTAGTCTAAAAGTGGACACTACTCCTACCTCACCCAGCAGACAGATGCTTTCACCCAGCAAAGTTCAGGGCTCATTTCCAAGCAGTCCAAGTCGTCAGTTTGATTCTCCTTCTGTTATCAATGTTTCTAACCTTCCAATCCCTTCCCATCTCGGAGCGGGTCTAGCAGAGGAAGTGAGGCGTCATACAGGACTAAGTCATGACATGTCATGTCTGGCAGTGGAAGTGGTGTTAATTCATGTTGGTAGTATGATACCTCAAGTGGGATCACTTATGGAAAAAGTTCTCTTCACTTTCAATGAGGTGAGTCTATCTAGGTTTATACCGGTATTGTTAAGTTGATAAATATCGAACATTATTTTTGTTACAGAATATTAAATCGATTTATATCAGGCAAAATGGGAAAAAATTTAACCTGTTTAATGGTAACATTATAGCTTTATCAGCTTTATATTTCATTCTGATGCAGATTGTTAAGAGATAAACTTGTTTAAAAAGTCCTTGTTATGTTCAGTCCTCCACCAGTGATTTGGATGGCGACTATAGGTTTACACATCCATTTATGTTGGTCAGTTCATCTGGTTGTACATCACATTGTGCAAGACAAACCAAATATAATCCAGCATCTACTGTTGTCAAGTTTGAAGTGTTATTATTTGTTTGGATGGTAGGTTTATTTTGTAGTAAAAAAGATGTCACGTGCCCTCAACATTCAGAGCTGTGGACTTTTGTTCACACATTCATAGTGACCAAGATGTATTGCTGAAGACAACTGACAAATTTTATCAGTTCGAATGGCAGTTTGTGGCACATAGAAATACACCTTCATTTTAAAACAATAACTGGACATTGATAGTATGTTGAATTTCCGAATTTTAATGAAGTAATTTAGAAAACTATGTCTCATTTGTCCCAACAGTTAGATTTATCAATTCATGTGTTAAAATATAGACAGGAATTTGCACTTACCATAAAACTGAATATACCTTATATAAAGTGGGGGGGGGGGGTAATGCCTTGCTTGTTAATACTATTGCTCAGTCTTGTATACTTGTATAAAATGTATATGACTGTGAACTCCAAATCACTGATCTAACATGGAATTGTAACATTTAACTTATTTAAAAACTCCAGAACAGCGACATGTCTGATGAAGACTCCGGTCATGATTCCATGCGACTTCAGTATGTGTTTTCCGAGTTAGTCGCCTGTAAAGATGACTCCCAGCAAAGGAGTTGGGCTCTTCACCAGGATCAACAGATTATACAGGGCCACTTGGATGAACTACTATCTGTACTTGTAAGATTGGCTATCGAAAGAGGATATATAATCACCCTTGTCTGTCCATTTTTCTATCCATCCCACTTCCACTTCTATAGGGCAGGATTGCTTTTCAAGTCCATAGATTGAAGGTCAACATCACTGTTGCTATGAATACAAAAAAGGTTTTCATAATTCTCAAGTTCTGTTGGGCCTGTTTATCTCAGAAACAATCCTTTGCTTACTTGTAATTGCTTGAGATTATTAATCAGGTCAAAAGTCAATGTCATTATTAATGTAAATAAAAAATTGGTTTCTCCACAATCCTTCTTTTCGGCCAATTCCACTCAAACTCATCCAATGCTTTCGCATAGAAAGCACTTGCATGTGATTGCTTTTCATGGTTATATTTTGTTGTATTTACCATACTGTTAATGGAAACCTGTGTGCAGTGTTTCCTGTTCTGTCTTCTAACACATATCCAGTTCTCCCAATGAAGTGTTTTATCGTATTTTGTGTTGTATCACAATTCTTCTGTTTAGATAAATAATTTAACACACGACCAGTGAATTGCCAAATCACTGATTGGATAGATTATCCATTTGCAATACCAGGAATATTTTTCAGTGCATTAAGAATTACATAAACCAATGAAAACAAATTTTCTCTCGATTTTACATCTAAAGGTATACAGCAATAATTTTCTTTTCTTTTTTTTAACATGTTGTTGTTCAGTATAAAAAGAAAAAAGGCCACAGTGGTTTTTTTTTTAAAAATTAGTTTAATCACTCTAGTTTTTTAAGGATGCTAGATCATACCCCCACAGAAATACTGAGGTGTATGTTGTACTTTTCTTCACAGGAAAATGCCAAAGCCTCGGTATGTAGGAGAGCTGTTGCCAAAGATTCATATGAAGTTTTACACAACCTGGTGCAATATTTTCAAATGGTGAGATTTATCTCTTGATGTAGGATTTTTTTTTATGATGTTTCAGATTCAGGAACATGTTTAATTATTAATTTTATATTTGTTCATTTTCATTCCTGATTTGTTAGTAAGTAACAAGAATTATGTAAATTTTAGCTTAATCCATATTACGTAAAACCTTCATTAAGATTTTTGATAATGTATTTTCAGGAAACCCGTTTAAGTTTACGACTGAGTTTGCTACAAGTATTTGGAGCCCTTTGTAGTCTGGAAGATGTAATTGTGTCCCAGCTGTTGTATTCTGTTTTACCTTTAGAACTGGTCAGTGACCTCCGTAATAATTTCACTGGTGAGTAAAAATCATTTTCAGCTCCTCAGTCCTGTTTTGTATCCATGAAACATTTTACAGCAAGCAGATATTTCTCCTCTTTGTTTTTACAAAACAAAGAAAATAAAAAATAATCACTTATTTATTACACAAACAAAACTTAACTTTTATAATACATAGAATAAACACATTTGAAATTATAATGTAAAAAGTTTATCAAAAAAATACTAGTGCTGCTATGTTAGCTTTAGAGATTTTTTCCTCGGCTTATGAGATAGAGCATCACACTAGTGAGCTAGTCCTATCTCGGTCCCTAATAGAGGCTTGTTTTTGTAAGGTCTTCAGAAATCTTTCTTTGAGCTTGCTGATTACTTAAGAAAAATTTCAATCTTTCCCCTGGCACATGGCATGTGTCTTTTCTTTTATATAAGGAGTATCTTTCTGTTGGAAACACTTGCTGACTCTTATCAACTTTCCGAGGGAGAAATTTTCTTTCACTTATTAAGTAGTAAATTAAACAAGTAAGCAGTAAATAGTAGTTTGTTTTCAAAATTCAAAACTTATATTATGGTCAAAATATGGAACAATCTTCCAGAGTATATTGTATCGGCACCAACAGTTAACTCTTTCAAAAATAGATTAGATGAACACTGGACAAATCAAGAACTGGTATATAATTATAAAGCTGAAATTCTGTAGTTCCTGGATCTGATGTCTCAAATGACAATAATTATAAACATTATCATTGTATCACTGAGACCGGTATAGAGGATCATAACGATCCGGCACTGGTAATAAACTAAACTAAACTAAACTAACCAGTCAATATCCAAATATTTTCAAGTTTGATAAAATCTTTATAAAATATCATTTCCATCCTTCAAGGTTTATTTTCCGTGAAAATAAGTGAAGTATATCACACACCTATCCCAGTTCTAAATATACTGGTAATTATGATATAGTATTAAGGTGGAATGAATCTACATGTTTTTTTTTATTTTTAGATGTGCGTCGTCTTAACTATGTAGCCCTAGTACTGACTATGGTGTTTTGTACAGGAGAGTCCTTCCCTGTTAGTTTAGAGGGTAAGTTTATGATGAAATTGGTCAGATTTGTTCATGATATAATGTAATACTTGCTGTAAAGATTCATATTTAAGAGTATAAAATATAATGTTTAGATATCAAATAATGAGTTCACGATTAAATCCTTAATTACAAATCAAAACATTACTGTGGAATTATAAGTTTAGCTTTTAGGGTAAGTTCAAAAAGTTTTGAAGCTTTTAGTTCAAGGGCAAATTTGTGGTGAAATCTTAGTTTGATGTAAACAAGTGAGTTTATGATGTCATGCTCAGTTTACAGGTAAGAGTTCACAAATATTTGAAATTTTATTGTTTTAGATATATGTCCATACAGTATATGGTAAATCAGCTAAATTTGTAGTTACACTTGCCCTTTCCTTATTTATAATAAGAAATTACATAAGTAATGAAAATGAGAACACCCCTTATAAAAAAAAGTGTAAAACACTTTCAGCTCTACTTTTTATCGACAAGGCCATTTTTTTCCAGATCATGTAAATGCTGAGTTTATAGACTTTGTGTTTAACTTGCTGGAGGAGCCACCCACACCAGAACATGCAGACCAGACTACAGACTCCCTGGTTAATCTGATGTTGGCTCTGAACCTGCATTACCACAGTCTCTCTACTAACAGTATCATGGCTGTCATACAGGGCAAAGCTTCACTGCAGACCTTCACAGAAAAAATTCTTGTACTTTTTAATCGTAGAGGTAAGTCCATGAGTTTAATGCCATGCAGAACAATATTTATCACTTAAATGTTATAAATGTGAAAAACCTTTAAATACTCCTTGCTTTAGCTGTTTTTAGCAAAGCTCAGGGATGCTGCATAATTTCATTGTAATTCTAGAGAAATCAAATTCAGTTGTCATCGTACATCTATCCAGCTAAAAGCCGATATCTTGTAATAAACCCATCCATATCTTTTGAGTAGAATCACAAACAAATGCTATTTCATTGGCCTACAATAAGTCTATTACCTCTACCCTCAACCCACAATTATTTGTCATGATTTGTATAATTATCCCCCTTGGCTTATTGTAGGGCAAGTACAGTGTTCACCTGTAAGATCCTTTTATTCAATCACAGCCTTAGTGGTTTAGAGTTGGAAATTTGGAAATTTTGTAAATGCTTCCATACCATGTACACTATTGTTAATGTGACCCTATTATAATCCTTACAGATGATCCAGTGAAGATGTTTAATCATCAGGTAACCAGTGTCCACTCTGTGATCAAGTTCATGACCGACGTTTTTAGTAGTACTGCGACTGCAAACCTTTTATATACAAACGATGCTAAAGTACTGGTGGACATCCTCATTCGCCAGCTAACAGATCTACAGCCAGGCGACCAGGTCTGCCATTTTTACAGAACCACTGGCATTGTTTTACATCATATTTGCATAATTTTTTTGATAGTGTTTAAAACAATGGAAGGAAAAATCATTTTCTTTCATTGTTTCTCTTGATATCATATGGATTACTGTTCTGAAAAAATGGAAAATTAAGAGTTCAGTGTTTATATACAAAACAAAATTTTTTGATAACCATTGATTATTGCTCTGTAGACTACAGAAGCATATAAGTGCAACTTTAAAAACTTTTTTATTTCATGTTTTCCACTTTGAAGTGTAAAATTTACAGATTTCGGTGTAAAATTTACAGATTAAAGTATAAAATTTATAGTTTAAAGTTTATTGATTAATGTGTAAAATTTACAGATTAAGGTGTGTAAAACACAAAATAAAAATGTTTTAAAGTTGCACTAATATGCTTCTGTAATTATTAGATTTTTAGGATAAGTGAGCTCTATAACCTCAGTGTATGTAAGTGGTTGCCTGAAGTTTTACGTTTGTCTGCTGCAGGTACGGTCATCTATGTTGACTTTAGTGGAATTGGTGGTGACAAATTCAGAATACAGTGACTATAAACATCGCCAGGGGGAGCTGCTGAAGTGTCTGAATCACATAGAAACAGAGGAGGCAGATACAGATTCAGACAAGGGTGTGGCTAAAAGAGTCATTCAGTTATTAGAAAAGTTGTGATTGATAAAAATGTAAACATCCCCAGGGGAAGCTGCTGAAGTGTCTGAATCACATAGAAACAGAGGAGGCAGATACAGATTCAGACAAGGGTGTGGCTAAATGAGTCATTTGGTTAAAATATGAGTCTAATTGGTTGAACAAGTGGTTTGTCTCATGTGTATGCAAAGGTGCATGCCAGTAACGAAAGTGGAAAATGCCTTCAAGGTGTAGGTTTTGAAATATCATATTATTAGGCTTGTCAGATAGAGCATATCTGATGCAAGGATCTGCAAAGTATATAAATTCTGTAATATCATATGTAACCAGTATATGACAAAAAGATTATTTCCCAAATTACTGAAGAAATAAGAAAAATATATCATCAAAAAACTACTCGGATATTAATGATAATTTCCTTACCATAAAGCATTACATTTCATACTTCATTTTGCAAAATTTTTTTTATTTTATCACAATTTTTCTATCCATGTGCATGCATCTATATTTCTTTTTACTAAGTATATCAGACAGCATTGCATTAAGGCTATGGTCACAATCACCTGTTTTGCTTTGCCTATCATTACATAAGCATCACTTTTGTATTAGATATAAGGAAGTCAATTTTTAGAATTCATCAAGTGGCTGTGTAATAGATTAATTGCAAACTAATGAAAGATTAGACTGAAAGGATGTTGTGTTAATATTTTACACACGCCAAATGAATATCAATGAGAGATTTTTGTACATTTGTTTTGATGTCTGAAGATCTCCTGAAATGGATTATTCACTGTTCAAGCAGGTGGAGTGTATACTGTAACAGCTTGATTCAACAATTTTAAGTGGAATCTGTCAAACTTTACACCAGTAAACATTTCTATAAATAGTCACACATAATTGAATGAAGGGGATGTAATACATCTCAAGTGACAGGGGTTCATTTTTGTGCTGGAGGAAGGCATTATTGAAGTATTGTACATGTATCGTAACTTTTTGTATGAATGAGGTGTCTATCTACAAAAGTGATTGGGTAGGTGTATGACATCTATGGAAGTGATTGGGTAGGTGTATGACATCTATAGAAGTGATTGGGTAGGTGTATGACAAATGTACATGTATTTATACAAGAGAAATGATTAAGAGTGTCCTTTATATGGTTCAGATTTTTTTACAATATTGCACTGTATTTAAATACTGTATATGTTACTTTATATGTACTGGTGGCTGATTTGTAAAGCACATGTGTACTTTGTCAATTTTACATACTTCTGTTTTTAATCTATAAATATATATAAAATGGAATAGACCACACGACTTGTGTAATTACATATTTGTGTGAGGTAATTTTTACTGTGAAAATCAAATTTCTAATAAAATCTCATTAGGTTGCCCATGAAAAGAAAACTGTTTTACATGGTTTATGAAAGGTTGTCCTAAGTGAATAAATACATTGTATATTGTTGATCCTGTATGTTGGTCAGATAGGGTATATTTATATAATTTTAGGTACAAGATTATCCCCTTGGCTTTTTAGGTCACCTGCGACAAAGTCTAAGAGTGATCTGTTGCGGTCCCTTTTGTCTGGCGTCGTGTTTCGTATATCATAAAGTTTAACCATTTCGACTTCCGGAAAACTCCTGATTTCACTGATTTCAATGAAGTTTTACAAAAACCTTTCATGGCTTAAGACACACCAAAATTTTTAGTTATATGGTCCCCGGGGCCAAAAAGGGTCAAATTGATTCAAACATCAAAAAATCTGCTTCTCAAATCACAGGCATGATAGAATCAGGTACTTTTCATGGATAGAAAGGCCTTCAGATGCTTTACAAAACATGTAAATTTCATGACCCCAGGGTCACACATTTCCCACTGGGGATGGAGTAAAGTTGACTATAGTTTATATAGGAAAATCACATTTTTGAACATTTGTTTATTTTCTATTGGGAATAATTCAAACTTGGCTTGAATTATTAGTTTAGGATGACAGTTTGATGAGATGCACATATTGGCCTCGACTGATCTACAGGTACTGTTGGGTAGGTCAAAAAATGGTTCAAATGGACTGAAATTTCAAAAATCTTCTTCTCAATACCCAGATAATATAGAACTAAATACTCTTCATGGATGGAAGTGTCTTACGGTGCTTTATGAATATTGTAAATTTCATGACCCCAGGTTCTCACATTTCCCCTTTTGGAGGAGGTAAAATATACTATATTTTCTTTAAGGATATTACATTATTTTTAGCATAATTTGTTTATTTTCTTTCAGAATTGTTCAAACTTTGTGAGAATTTTTTGTTATAAGTATAAGCTGAGAGTTTGATGAGCTGCACATATTGCCCTTGACTGACCCCCAGGGGCTGATGAGGGGTTAAGAGGGGGCGCCAAAAATGGGTCAAATTGACTGAAATTTTAAAGATGTTCTACTGTTACTTGATGGAAGATTTTTATATAGGAAAATTCAAATCTTGAGTGTTATATCTTTTTATTTCAAATTTGGTTAGAAGCCTTAGCGTTTTTAACAAAATAATTTCTATGACATGTTACAAGAAGCATTGTGACTCAGGAGACTGTTAAGGCTCTTTGGACCACTTGTTTACATTTGAATATTATGTTTGTCCTTAAATTCAAAGGACAATATTATTCAGACTGCAAAGATGTGGGTTCCAGCCATTAGAAAGGTAATTCTAGTTTGTATTTATGAAAAATAATACTCAGAAATAAAATCAACTTTTAGTTACTAAGAGAGACCTCCAAAAAAGAAAGGAATTTATTTAACTAGAAATTGTTAATTTTTTTTTCAGAGCAATATAAATAAAAGAAATTTAAAACACATTGAGTGATATGTTATTTCTCTTTTTTCATTACACTGTGATAGGTTGCAGAATCAAACTTGTCTCTTGTATCATTAGAACATCAATTAATTCATACCATTTAGCCAACACTCACACCATAAAATGATCAGAAAAGGACCTGGTGAGAGAGAGAAAGGGGATCCTACTTTGTATTACACTTACTGGTAGTAAGTCATAGGAGGCTATTCCAATCAGAGGTTTACTGGACAGTTCATAATGCTTCATTATTTACACTAATGATAATATCTTTGTAAATTGGACACATAACTATCATTATTATAGTTTGGGAAATATTTGGATAAATTTTTTTATTCTACTGGAGAGCTTTCACAGATGTACAAATTAAATTACAAATGTATTATTGTCTTCAAACAATTTCTGTTACTATCAAGTCAGGTTTGGCGCATCTGAAAATTAACTTAGGGGTTTAGACGTCCAGAAAAATGTGCCAACTGTTAATGTCACGTTCCATTTATTATCACATTTTCCCCTGACAAATAGAACACATTAAATGGTTTTCACTGTATTTGAAACATTATAAGCATTTTTGAAAGGTGGTTGTCCACTTGGACAGAAGATACGTTTCTCCAGTCCTTCAGGTTTAATGATTCAAAATTGTTCTACACTAGTACAGCTGTTAGCTATCTGCCCAGTGAATCTGTCTACTTGTGATGCCCATGTCTTGTTTTCGAGGCAAGCTGTATATTTTCTTGCTGGTCTTCAATTGTTGCCAGCTTTGCTGTGTTTAGCTCATCAAGTCCACAACGCCAAGTGACCTGTTGGCATACTGTGGCATCCGTAGTCTGATTGTCCATCACCTTACTCTACACATTTCTACTAGTCATGAACCGCTATGCCCATTTTGACCAAATGTTGTCAGAAGCATCTTTTTGGGAAAGTGAACAAATTATATATAAATGGTGGGTCTTCACTCCTTGGGGCTGAATGGGCAAGTGCAACTAGGGGAAATAGAGCTAATTTGATAAAATCCTTTCTCTTCCTGTAAGAATATGATTTTATCCAAATTTGGTCTGAAGCATTGTTTTGGGAGGCGTTATCAATAGTGTGAATGGTGGGTCTCGTCCCCTGGGGCAGGAAGGGTGTGGCTCAGCAGGGGAAATAGCAAATTCTTTAAAATAGTACTCCTGTAAGAATATGATTTTCTCCAAATCTGGTTTGAAGCATTCTTGAGTGAAGGTTAATCAATGTTATTTTAACAGTGGATTTTTTTTTGTGTTACTCCTTTAAATGCTTCTCGCATTCTACAAACAACTTCATCTTGATGCAAGAATGGTCTTCTAAATGGATGGTTCATTTAAATCCTAATAAAACGTAGAGTCTCGTAGCGAGGAAAAAAGTAAACAATCTCCTTATTTGGTTCTCCATTTAAACAAACACTCCTGTTTCTGAAGTTACTTCTCACCAACACCTTGGTATTACTATCTCTGACAAAGCTGACTGAAGATAGTGCATCAACAATATCATTATCAAAGCATCATATGACATTAACACTTTTCAAAAATTGAAATTTAGAGTTGACAGACAAAATCTGCAACAAATGCAGTTTTATTCATCCCATGTTGGAATATGTGTATGTGACAACCTCTCAATAGAATATGTAAAACGGTTAGTGTATCCAACTTGAAGCTATTTGAATAATCTGTGGAACCACTAAACTAACTAATCCATTTACCAGGAAACTGAAATATAGTCATTGTCTGAGACATAAACATGAAATGATCCAGCTTCATATAATCATTCATGGACTGACATTTAGTTATTTACCAGATATCCTACCCAATCAAATTAATGAGCTGCATGATTATAATACCTGCCAATCTCAAAATGTTGCTAACATACATATAGAAGTAAATCAATCATTTTTTAACTTACATCATTTCTTTCAGAAAGAGTCTAAGCTTGGTTGGCTTTTTTGTTTATTAGTATAAGCTTACAGTTTGATGAGATGCACATATTGACCTTGGCTGACCCTCAGGGGCTGATAAACAGGGCCAAAAATTAATCAAATTGACCGAAATTTCAAAAGATGTTCTACTGTTCTTGCAAAGAAGATTTATATAGGAAAATTCAAATCTTCAATGTAATTTTTTTAAATTGAAATTTGGTTAGAAGTCTTAGCTTGGGATAGCAGTTAATGTATACACAATTTACATTTGCATTATATGTACAATATAGTGAAAGTTATCATCAATTTAACAAAATCATTTCAATGATTGGACGGACGGAAGAAAGGTACCACGTTTTTGCCTTGGACAACTTCTAGGAATAATCATTACAGCTTCGGATTTATCGCGATCGTTATAGCATCTCATCTTTGACCTAAGTTACCTCCCCTAAAGCACCGCTACCTCATGGCATGTTTCCCTGTAGCTACCATACGAGAGTCAGGTGAATCAACTGTTAAATGAGTAAAACACTGAACAAGCGAGTCCATTTGACAATAAACTAGACCGGATTTCAACACGTGTTTTCTAAAGTCGTGTAACATAAAATTACAACTTTAATATATGGTATTATATGTTCTGATAATTTATTCATCAGTGACCTATTTTATGACGTACTTACAGATTTTTTAACTGCATATTTTTTTTTACAAAACTAACAAGCATCAGGTTATATTTACAACATAAACAGAAACAACAAAATCATTATAAGGAAATTATTCCAATTTCCTAAGATAAACCAATCAAGTGCCTTGGAAGCGATTTGACAGCTCGCTAGCTGATGGAGAGAATGCCGTAGTTATGTTCTAACAAGCCAATGGATGGATGACAATGGTAGACAGGAGCAACTACCTGGAAGAGTCAAGACCTTGGTTTGCCTAAACGATGTGCTTCCACGGACACTATGGTCAGTTCTGGTATATGATATACCTTGTCAGCAGTTGTAAAGATGGAACGCGTGGTGACAAGCTTTCTACCCAGATGGATGGGATTGCTAAGACGCTTTTGCAGCATCGGCTTGTATGGAGAAGGTACAAAGCTGGATATTCCTCTAAAATATCTTACTGGGGAACATAAAGTGACCAAGGTCAGGCAACTTCTCTTACTGCAAAACAGCAAAGATGTGAAGGTCAGGGAAGCAAAGGTGAAGGTTAAGACCGGGGGAAAATGGAAAGCTGACAGGACAATTCAAAAGTCGAGTCGAGTCGAGGCTTGGGCATGGAGATATCGTGGGAAGTATAGCACTTTGCAGGCAAGGACTGGGAACATCGACAGGGCAGATGTGGAGTAAGGCTGGAACAGAACAACAGAGAAGAATGGTGCAGAAAGAAGTGAGGAAAATGGAGGAGGAGCAGAAAATGGTAAAGACCCCGTGCATGAAGAAACAAGGGAGTTGACTAAACTGGCAGTGGGGTTAGAGAGAAGACTCTCTCATGGAGCAACATATCAGATTTCTTCCGAGATCTGTGTATGATGTGCTGCCAAGCCCAACGAACATTTGTACATGGGGTCTCAGTGAAGATCCGAAGTGTGCCTTGTGCCAGAGAGTGACGAACCTGGAACTTATCATGCTGCCGAGTGCCTGTGGACGTGGTGCCACGCAAAGTGCTTTCTTCACTTGCAGTAACACTGGACGTGCATAGGGAAAAACCAGCAAAGGTGACAAAGGGGCCTAAGTTTGTACATTTTAATCGGACAGGTGAAATTGGAAAGGAAGGGCGGAGGGAACAGGGATCATGGCAACAACGCAACACTGGCAGATGAAGGCAGATCGAAACGCCAAGATGAAATTCCCAGAGGAAATCATCACCACAAGCCAGAGACCAAACATAGTACTGTGGTCGTCGACAACCAAACAGGTCATCAATGTGGAACTGACAGTACCACGGGAATAACGTATGAAGGAGGCATCCGAGAGGAAGGAAACAAAATATCAGGAGCGGGTGGATGATTGACAGGGTTGGAGGCAATTGTTCTTCCCTGTGAAGGTTGGCTGTAGAGTCAGTCTTTGTGGAGGGCTGTGAAGACTATAGTTGTCATCGGGAAAGCCGTGAAGCACCTGATTGGTTCAGTATGCCAGCAAGCAGAGTCAACATCAATGTGGTTGTGGAGGATGCGGGCAGAATCGTGGGCATCAAAGTAGTGTTGTGTGACTCTTCAGAATCACTCCAATATAGAGTTTGTGATTTGGAGTGAAGTATGTGACATTTGTTTAGTGATAACAACATCAATCACAAGATAAATGTGACAACATCAGCAGTGGTACATGGTGGAAGAGGCTAGATGGTTTCAGACTAGGATTTGATCACCCTAGTCGGCGCACATCTGGAGGTTGTAGTTGACAGCGCAGAAACAATCAAGGTTAGAGGATCCACGTGAAGATGGAATCGCCTGGCATCAGTAACATAAAGATTTATGATGGAAATTCGTAATTTTTACACAACCAATTGCACAAGTTACTAAAATTCTGATTACTGCTTGTTTTTATTAGTGTTTAAAACGCCTCTTATATTTGGCATGTAACTTTCTAACATTAATCAAAATTTTCATCAAATCTTGTAAAAAAAAGTAGGTTTTGTTACAAACTGTAATAGATAATGGTATTCATCTCCACATTGAAATGCATATAAGAAAATGTATTTCGACAACAGAGTGGTTATTTTTCAACAATAAAAGTAGCACAGCACACATTCATGTATACAATACTTACAAAAGACTAACTTGCTCTTAGAACTCTTTCGTAAACACCGTAACATGTTTGTTGGGGCCGTTGATATCCTGATCCAAATGGTTTTATGTATAAATATATAAATATGTACATTTCGAAACATAAATTTTGTACCAGTATACACATCAGTGATCTTGCAATGTTGTAATACTTTTAGATGCTGACCTAGTAAGCTAAAAAAGTAAGCATGACGAATATATTATTCACGAGCATCTCCACCGCAGTTTGTTTTCTTATACACACGGGGAAAAACATTCTATTCTAAATCATGCTTTGAACAACATAAAAAAACTCTTCTTTCAATGAAAATAAATGTTGAAGTAAACAAATAAAAAACAAAACAAATAAAAAACAAAACAAAACAAAAACAAAACAAAACAAAAAAATCATCCTTGATATTATGTATCATAGAAAGATTATACGGTCGGTCAAACATCAAACATACAGAATATGAACATAAAGGTTAGTTTGTTATACATGTACATTTTAATGCATACTTACAGTGCAGACAATTTATCTATGTCAGGAGTTGATAAAATCAGAGACCTATTTCCTAATATTATTATTATCTGTTATCTCTAATTTTGATTGATGTGTCTGTATACTTGTTTATGCACTGTAAGGAGAGGGCTTTCATAGGCTCTGCCTGTTGCCCAATTCCTACTGTCAATACCACCATGACAATGAAATATTCTGAAAGAAAAAAAGAGACCTATGAAAAACCGTACGTTGTATACATTATACGTCCCTGACATAATCATAATAAAAACCAAAGAAAAACAAATATGATGTATATATATTTAAACTACATACATATAAAAAAATACTATGGTTTCTGGATTTTCGACTTATAGTCAATTTAATTATATAGATATGAAAAATATAATTCTAAAAATCTAAACTTAAAAAGGTTTTGATTTCTTTATAATTGGGTACTGCAAGCGGGATATAACTTATATTTGGGTATTATACAACCCTTAAGAATGTTTTTGATACTGTTCCCTAAGACATACAGTCTTTACCTAAAGTTTCATTTTATTGCCCTCAACACAACTAAACATTTGAACTACTAAATACAGGGCACTTTTATAGACATGCCAGGTGTCACTCTGGTCAATTTCATCCCAACATTCTCGGCACCCCTCGGCTGTCATCACTATACCATCCGATCAAGTGAAACGAAGGGAAGTAACTCTTGGAGATCAGCCTGCATCTTGATAGATAGGGACGTCATCAAGCATAGTTCTGCAATAAAACATGATCAACTCAAATATCGTAAACGATATTTAGTAAACTGGCAGCTATTTCTGTATATTCTGCCATATTTTAACCATTTTATGACATTTTCCATGTTTACATTCAAGATCACAAATTAGACACCTGAACTTATTAGTGGACTCTACGTTTGCACGATTAGCATATCAACAGTTTGGAACATTATGTGACCGTTTTTTTTATTTCCACATGTCGCACTGAGCATTGACTTTGTAGACACATTCCTTTGTTGTAATGAAGAGTTTAAATGAAATTACCATGTGTCTGAGTGAATATTTATGTTTGCATGTTTCTACATCGACACACTTTTTGTATACGTATTTTAAACTTTAAAAAAACAAAGTGTAGCTAATGACCATTGAAGTCCGTGTTATAGATATATCGTAGCATTGAAAACTTTTAGTGGATAGTGGATTTGAAATCTAAGGGTTAGTCATAACCTGCAGGTCTCTTTTTAATTCGTTCAAATAAAGGCACGATTCAAAATATACATACGAGGCTAGTGCAACCTCTGATCTGGATTTTGATATTTTATTCGATCACTTAAGATATTCCCTCAGTCGCCTCCTAGGTTTCAAATTTAGGCTATTAGCATCACTAACGAGTCCTACAAGGACGAACAATTGTATGATGTAGCATCAGTAACGAGTCCTACAAGGACGAACAATTGTATGATGTAGCATCACTAACGAGTCCTACACTGACGAACAATTGTATGATGTAGCATCAGTAACGAGTCCTACACGGACGAACAATTGTATGATGTAGCATCAGTAACGAGTCCTACAAGGACGAACAATTGTATGATGAAGCATCAGTAACGAGTCCTACAAGGACGAAACAGTTGTATGATATAGCATCACTAACAAGTCCTACAAGGACGAAACAGCTGTATGATATAGCATCACTAACAAGTCCTACAAGGACGAACAATTGTATGATGTAGCCTAGTTTTTCATTATTTCACACTTCTGCTTCTAATTATATAATTTGTATTTTTGTATTATCTACTTTTGTTTCTTTTGTTAAATCTGGTCTCGTTGTTCCTTATCGGCACATAATCTGCCAACAGTATAACATTGTAAGCGAGGTTGTCTCCCCTTATATCACTATAGATACTGCTGTAAAATTGAAGTATTGGACTGCTCTAAGTTGGCAACCCTGGGAATTATGACTGTCCGTTGGATATAGAAAAATTCAAGAAACCGTCTTCATTAAATTTGTCCTTATCCTGTTGACATTCCCAGCTCAAACTTTTTTTAATTTTTTTTTTATTGCAGTTCTTTGCATTACATATATCTACATTATAAAACACTGTATCAAATGATACAAAAAAAGTGCACTGAAAAGTAAAATAACAGATTTATTTTAGATAAAGCTTGCTCTTAACAATATTCGGGATTCCTGTATGACACGTTTTACTTAACACATGTTTTTGAAATTGTCAGGTATAAAAAAAAATACAAAATTAATTGAATTAACCGGAAGTAGTGCATCTTCCGTATCGATTTTGACATTTCTTTCGTTCAATTTAAAATGTTCTCATTTGCCTCTTAGAATTCAAAATTTAGGCCCTTAACATCGTTGATGAGTCCTTATATGACGGAACTTGCGTGTCTTTTTCACAATCTAAAAACCCACTTTCCGGTAATCTTGTTTGATGATATATATCTCATTCTTTCACGCGAGAATTTTGATCCAGCATACCACTTACCGTTTCGTAAAAATACCTGAAAGTCCCCACATTTCCTTCATCGTCTCCGATCCACACCTCGTTCTGATGAGCAGTCATGACACATAGGTTTGGACTTCGTACCAAGACCTGTAGTGGTTCACAAGATGGACTTAGCAACTGCACAGTTCCGCTGTAATGCTCAGCAACCACAATGTTATCTTTTGTATCAAACGCGGCACTATAGACTTCAAATCCTTGTAACGAGTTGCCGGTTAGAACGCTAGGTCCTGTATAGACCAACATAGGGGACAGATCCTTGTCCAGGAGGATCAGGTCTCGTCTATTGTCACTAATGCGGTTGATAACTGCTACTTTTGTCTCGTCCTGGTTTACAGAGACTTCCTCGGGTACAACAAATATGTTTTTGTCAAACTGATTCCTCTCACAACGGCCATTTTCTCCTCCCCACCTGTCGTACTGAATCAGTACACGTGTGCTGTCTTCTGTTACCTCGTAGTCATCCTCGTCATACAGCGTCACATAAATATGGCCAGATGGACCTGTACATACGTAGTTCGGTGTAAGAGGACTGGTATCAATTTTCCCAAAGATATCACCATCCGGCAATTCCATTTCCTTGATACATTCCTGAGTTGTACAACAGAACAATAGCCGGTTGTTTGAAGTTACCGTAAAACCACTGGTCTGTGTACCTAAATTAATAGAGTGTTCAATTTGTCTTGATCTGTTCAACAGTTTAACGCTGTTTTTATCTTGGTATTTTATCAAACAGTTGCCTGCTTCAGGACAGCACACGACACCAATAGCATCATTTTTAGAAGGTTTGAAAGACGTAACTAGCGTTACTTTTACAAAAATCTTCTTCGAACTTGTTGTCGCAACATCAACGTCACTTGATTCTGAAGAGCAAATATCTTCTGCTGTCTCGTCCATGATTCTACCAAAAACATGGCCTAACCCTTCTTCATCAACATTTCCTGGTGTAAATGTTAGGCTGTGTATATCCGGCAGGGGGACGCGATTGAACTCTGGGACTTCAATGTCCTTGCCCGCCTTGATCACTTCCACGTAATCGTTCAACTTCTCTATCTGAGCTACTCTTTCCTGAAATTTGTGTATTTGACGCTTGACACTTGACAATTGACGCTTCAGTTCTTCCTCCCTGATGTTTAGTGAATCTGTGTTCTTAAACAGAGCCATTTTATGTTTCCGTAGTGCATCCTCCTTCATTGCGTCGACTTCGCGTTTGATAATACCTACATGTTTCTCGATTTCATTTTCTACCAGATTGCCCTCCTGTTGTAGGTTCGCTTTCAGGTTGTTGACAGCGTCAAGGTCGGACTGGATTTCCTCAGGTATGCGTTGGTTATCTGATCGTGTCTTTTCTATCTTCTGTCGCAAATAATTCGCTGCAGTTTTTAGCGAAACAAAACTGTGACCATCATGGCTCTCCTCCATACAAACAGCACACACTAATGGGTTCTCTTCACAGACGCTGCATGTCATGATGACATTCTCGCCCTTATGGCTAAAACACTCCATTTTACAAGATATCTAGCCACTGTATGATTGCTGTCAACAATGACTCGTCTCCTCGGTAAGTCATGTACTTGGAAAAGCTTCACATTGTGTTGGTTTCACTTTCGTTTTTCTCGTTTCTAGATGTAGATATTAAATTGAATTTTGAAAGCAATGAAACACATTGTCACGCTAGGGAAATTATTCTCTTCTGTGTTGTTATTATTTAAACGTGATCTAAAATATCACATTTTGTGATACAGATGTAAGGCATGCTTACTTACAAAATGGGAAATCTTAGAATTCTTTAAAATCCGACTTTTGTTACAGGAATGTCAGAATTCCGTCCCAATTTGGTCAGGAGCATTCGTTGCTGACGGGGGAATCAGTTTTGTATAAACTAAGCCTCGGCCACTGGGACTTTTTTGAGGATTGAGGGCCAATAGGGGAAATAGGGAAAACATCTTTCGAATCCTACCCATTCCTTTCAAGGGATATTCATCACAAGTTATAATTTCATAGGATGCTTTTGTAGAAAATTATATTAAATCATCTACTTATGTGCTCATGGAAATCGTACACCTCAATTTATCATTTAAACAAGCATGTTTAATTTGCGGAAATTCTTCATCACCCAGACAGATTTCCAAACGCCTGCGCGACCCTGATTGCGTCATAACAGGTTTGCATTGTTATAAGTCGAACAGAATGAAATATTTGTGTAAATCATAAAATCAACAGAAAAAAGCAAATAAGTCTTATGACGTCATAAAATAGTGTAACACATTTTAGTGAACAAATACATATTTGTGAATTTAATCAATACTCTGCATCAAATCTTTGACTCCAGTGACCATTCATTTCCGGATTTCCCGATGCGCTATATTTATATTTGTGCCAAACATAGATTAAGAAAAGTCATTAGAATGATTTATATAAAGATACAGAACAGCGGGAATTTTCAATTCCCTTTAAGATTTTTTTTTTTAATTTTACACACATCTGGTTCTTTGCTACACACCATGTGTCAAGTCGGGTAGATCTTTAAAGTGACTTCAAGCTAAATATATTTGGTATGATTCAAAAAGCTTGGTTTACTTTTTATTTCTTCTAAAATATATAATTAATGTGTTACTGATGAGTGTAGTTAATACACGATAGGCTGTATGACAACAATACGGAGGTCATACAGACTGTAAATGGTAGACGGTTAATTCATCAATGCTGCTTCAAAAGATGTACCGTTTTCAACTGTTCTCGTTAAATGAGTGTGGAACTTAGAGAATCCTCGTAACGCTGATACGTAAGTTTCCGAATATGGACTATTTCATTATTTACATCTTATGGCACTGTAATCTATCAACTGATGCAACTTTAATTCTTGTAGTTCTTTCCAATACTCAAATCAATTTTATGAACTAAACAGCACTGCTTAAAAAACCTTCCATTAGACAATATCAATGAGGCAAAATAAAATTCAGTATGCCCATCATCATCCTAGATACCCCAGGGGTTACCATCACTTTCGCTCTCTGCACCCCTGGGCCCATTCTGATCTCCAAGACCACTGCCCTTCGTTTCTACTCTGTCAGTATAGCGATAGGCTTGACAGACGATGGAGGGTGAGAATGTCCAGGACCATGTCATGGCAAAATTGCAGGCGTTAGCAAAGCAATTTTATTGGTTTTAGGTGATAGTAATTGACCAATCATATATTGATACGCTCCTTTTTACGATTACAAAGGAGCGACACACTACTTCAAACCTATTACAATATAGCGTTATGGGACCTCGAGATTCGTTTGATGTACATCAAAGGATTTAACTAGTCTTTTCATCATGTCCACAAGGTGTCGCACATGTAACCTTCAGTTTTGCAATGACATGAAAGTGATCGTGACCCCTGGAGAATCGAGGATGGCACATACAAATATGTCATCATTGACCTCTCTACCACACACAGATATATCATCATAGACCTCTCTACCACACACAGATATATCATCATAGACCTCTCTACCACACACAGATATATCACCATCGACCTCTCTACCACACACAGATATATCACCATCGACCTCTCTACCACACACAGATATATCACCATCGACCTCTCTACCACACACAGATATATCACCATCGACCTCTCTACCACACACAGATATATCACCATCGACCTCTCTACCACACACAGATATATCACCATCGACCACTCTACCACACACAGATATATCACCATCGACCTCTCTACCACACACAGATATATCACCATCGACCTCTCTACCACACACAGATATATCACCATCGACCTCTCTACCACACACAGATATATCACCATCGACCTCTCTACCACACACAGATATATCACCATCGACCTCTCTACCACACACAGATATATCACCATCGACCTCTCTACCACACACAGATATATCACCATCGACCTCTCTACCACACACAGATATATCACCATCGACCTCTCTACCACACACAGATATATCACCATCGACCTCTCTACCACACACAGATATATCACCATCGACCTCTCTACCACACACAGATATATCACCATCGACCTCTCTACCACACACAGATATATCATCATCGACCTCTCTACCACACACAGATATATCACCATCGACCTCTCTACCACCACACATAGATATAACACACATCGACCTCTCTACCACACACAGATATATCACCATCGACCTCTCTACCACACACAGATATATCACCATCGACCTCTCTACCACACACAGATATATCACCATCGACCTCTCTACCACACACAGATATATCACCATCGACCTCTCTACCACACACAGATATATCACCATCGACCTCTCTACCACACACAGATATATCACCATCACACCAGATATATCTCTACCACACACAGATATATCACCATCGACCTCTCTACCACACACAGATATATCACCATCGACCTCTCTACCACACACAGATATATCACCATCGACCTCTCTACCACACACAGATATATCATCACCGACCTCTCTACCACACACAGATATATCATCACCGACCTCTCTACCACACACAGATATATCATCACCGACCTCTCAACCACACACAGATATATCATCACCGACCTCTCTACCACACACAGATATATCATCACCGACCTCTCTACCACACACAGATATATCATCATCGACCTCTCTACCACACACAGATATACCACCTCTCTACCACACACAGATATACATCTCTATCACACACAGATATATCATCACCGACCTCTCAACCACACACAGATATATCATCACCGACCTCTCTACCACACACAGATATATCACCGACCTCTCTACCACACACAGATATATCACCGACCTCTCTACCACACACAGATATATCATCACCGACCTCTCTACCACACACAGATATATCACCATCGACCTCTCTACCACACACAGATATATCACCATCGACCTCTCTACCACACACAGATATATCATCATCGACCTCTCTACCACACACAGATATATCATCACCGACCTCTCTACCACACACAGATATATCATCATCGACCTCTCTACCACACACAGATATATCATCATCGACCTCTCTACCACACACAGATATATCACCATCGACCTCTCTACCACACACAGATATATCACCATCGACCTCTCTACCACACACAGATATATCATCACCGACCTCTCTACCACACACAGATATATCATCACCGACCTCTCTACCACACACAGATATATCACCATCGACCTCTCTACCACACACAAAGATGTGTATGATTGGTTGAGGTTATGATTCTAGCTTACCTTTCAAAACGAGTACCTAAAAATCCTGACGTTTCCATCGCTGTCTCCCAGCCAAACTTCATCATCGTTTACTGTCAAGGCACATGGCGAGGTATCAATTGATAGCAGAATCTTCAGTGGCTCGCAGGATGGACTCAGTAATTGAACAGTTTTGCTGTAATATTCAGCAACCAAAATGTTGTCTTGTGTATCAAATAGAGCGCCGCGGATATCATACCTTGCCAGTGAGACACCAGTCAGCACGCTGGGTCCTGTATAAATTGATACAGGAGACAGATCCTTGTCCAAGAGAACCAGTTCGCGTCTTCTCTCACAAATGCGATTAATGACTGCTACTTTTGTCTCATCCTTGTTTACAGAGACTTCCTCGGGTACAACAAATATGTTTTTGGCAAACTGATTCCTCTTACAACGGCCATTTTCTTTTCTCCACCTGTCATACCGAATCAGTACACGTGTGCTGTCTTCTGTTACATCGTAGTCATCCTCGTCATACAGCGTCACATAAATATGGCCAGATGGACCTGTACATACGTAGTTCGGTGTAAGAGGACTGGTATCAATTTTCTCAAAGATATCACCATCCGGCAATTCCATTTCCTTGATACATTCCTGAGTTGTACAACAGAAGATTAATTTGTCATCTGAAGTGACGGTAAATCCTCTGGCCCTAGTTCCCAGGTTGATCATCTTCTCAATTTTTCCAGATCTGTTGACCATCTTGATGCTGTTTCTACCTTGGAACTTAAACCAACAAAGTTCAGGCTTTGCACGAGTGATAATATGTATACCACCACTTATGGAGAGTTTGAAGGATGTAATTGTTGTGACCTTTATATTCGATTCTCTGAAAATTGAACCAACAAAGTCAGACGACAGGTAGTGTTTGTTCTCGTCTTCTTGTTCATTGTTATCACAGGAAATCGATAAAGTTTCTTTATTTGCAACGTCACCTTCGTCTTTGATATCTCCAAACATTCTTTCCAACTCTCCGTCACCGACAGACCCTGGGATAAACACAAGAGCGCGAATGTCAGGCCTAGGAATGCGGCTGGTGTCTGGGGTCTCCACGTCTCTGCCAGCCATAATCACGTCCGTATAGTCATTCATCTTCTGGATTTGGGCCACTCTTTTCTGGAATGTTTCTATTTGAGATACTTGTTGTGTCAGAGCTTGCTCCGTCTTGTCAATGGCTTCAGAATCTCTACGGAGTTCTGTTTGATGTTTCTCCTTCACTTCCTGGTTTACCATGTCAACTTTACTTTTAATAACCTCAACACGTTTTAATATGTCATCATCGACAAGATCCGCTTCCTTTTTTTGATTCTCTCTAATTTCAGTGAGACCATCCAAGTCAGACTTGATTTCTTCGAACACCTGCAAATTCTCGGCCTCTACCTGTTCGAGACTGTGACGGACAGACTTGGCGGCGTTCCGTAACGTTTGTAGTTTATGTTCCGCGTGCTCCTCTTCAATACAAACCCCACACAGAAAGGGGTATTTTTCACACGATTTACATACCATGATGACTTTCTCGCCTGTATGTTTGGTACACTCCATGGTATTGCAACGATTTACTCGCAACGAAGTAGCAATGGTCTGCTAAGAAAATATCCTTCATTTGCACCTTGTATCAGAGACGTATATAACACATATAATACGTCTCTGCTTGTATTATCCTATCAGTTACGTTGATAATCTATATATATCTGCACACGTTGTTGATACAAAAATTTCTGCTATCTGCACTGAGGTCCTGATAATATCATGTAACTTTTTTTATTTTTTTTCAAACCAAGAGACCTTAGCTCGATATTGATGCCCCTAACCAAATATCAGTTTTTAACAGGTTTCAATTGGAAAATAAGAGTTAATTCTAATCCGATGTCATTTTAATACCGCTGTAAAGACAGTTTCGGATAAAGTAATTCTCAGTTTTCCATTTAACTTTGTGCATTTCCTTCTTACATCGTAAAATTCAAGGTCATGCATTGTAAATGTTTGTAGGTAAACTTTTGTTTTGTTTACAAATCTATGGGGGAAAGACACGTCCTCATACATTCCCTCGCCAATCTAGGGAAGAGTGGCAGACCCAACTACCTTATGGACATATGAAAGTGGCAGCTTTTCGGCTCAACTGGAAACATCATAAACGTTTTCCATGCATCAAAATTTAGATTTAGAGTTTCCATTTCAAAGTCAACTTTATCAAATTATCTCAGTAATATTTTAGGCCGTTTCCAACTACGGCTTTAGTCATAAATTTCAATTTTTGTTTGAAGTCTGTCAAGATTTGGCTTTAGTATCAAGGTCAAACACTACTGATGTACTTAATAGATTCTTGATTTGTTCCTAAAAAACACAAACATTTTGCTCAAATTACCAACTCACAGTCCACATACATTGTAGATGTATTGTAGTGACACTGATATATATGTGAGATACATATGGTCCATGGATTAATCAAACTTGTGCCAAGTTCATATGCCTTAAATGAAGTATCAATTATTTCCTTTCCCAGCGATCACATTAATTTCTATTAAACTGGATTGACATGCTAGAAACCGAATAAAGGAGTCAGTCTAGCTAAAGAATGATACCTCGGCGAGATGAGTCTTGCATGTTGGCCTAGTATTGCAGACTAGGCCATACTGAAGAAAAGAGGCCTAGTAGTGCAGACTAGGCCATACTGAAGAAAAGATACAGAATGACAATTCAAAGAGACGAGACTTACATATCGGCTTAGAGGAGCAGACTGGATCATACTGACGAAATACTGAAGAATGATGTTACAAAGAGGTGCAGACTGGGTCATACTGACGAAAAACCACAGAATGATACTTTCAAGAAGTGCAGACTGGACCATACTGACGAAAAACTAAAGAATGATATTACAAAGAGGAGCAGATTGGGCCATACTATAATTCCTTTGAAATTCTCCACATTTTAAATTGTTTTTCATTATCATAATAAACAATTGCATTTAATTGCCTATCGTCAACAGTAGAGAGTTATTGCCCTTTGTATACTAAAGGTTTATAACACTTGCTCATTATGAGAACTTTGTAAGGGTTATTTGTACCTAATTTAGTATGTCTGATAATCTTCAGTTTCACATATTCTCTAAAATGCTACTGTAAAGGTAAGTTTGTGGCTTTCTTTCCCTAGTCTAAAGGATCTACACCTGTCAATGACATAAATGCCAGTGCCAACGTTTTAACCAAATATTATGGCTTTGGCCTACTCTGGATCCTTTTAAATTGCATTGTAAAATATCTGATCTTGAGTATACATGTTGAATTTTTATGAAATATGCATATCAGTATTTAACTTAATGCTAAATACTCTGATACAATAATTTGTAAAGTAAGTCAAAAGGTGATTAAAAATCAATATCAATGTTTAAACATTTTTTCAGTCCTCTAATACAAGCACCACATGTACATTATATGTATATTCATGAACACTGGGATATTGTCACACAAAATTCATTATCATCAATTAGTGATTTATGACGAAGTACAAAACTGGTATAAGAATTGATTATTTGTAAGCTTGCAAGAAAAGACTGTTAGGCTCAAAATGAATCTCAGCACAAATATCATCAATAACAAATTGAAACTTCAGTCTTTGGATTGTGTTCTAACAAAGCTGTAGTGTAGTCAGTCCCAGACACCTATTTGTGCACCTACATGCTATCTGTACAACATTAAACTGTAAATAATAAACAAAACCACAATTTTTGTTAGAAAAATTAAAGAATACATTTTTTATTCAGAGACACAACTACATGCCACAGTAGCTATATTTTGGCTTTGGATAGGTAATAAAGGATTAAAAGCATAATTGAAACTTTGGTGCCTTGGTCCTTGGCTGGTCCAAGGAACCTAAGTATGTACAACAATTGATAGTCAACCTTACGCTACCATAAACAAGGGACAACTCCACTCCACTACATGATCAACAACAGTTACTAAATCTGCTGACATGATTTGTAACACTTCTTATTAGGAAATTAATGGTGATCATCAAACATTTACAGGGACTAAATTGTACTGAAAGTTTCAATTTGATTATAATCTAGTCCTTTACTTTTAAGGAAAAATTCCAAAACCTCATAACTGTCACAGAGTAAATGCCATCATATAAGAACACAAAATTTATAAATGCAAAACATATTTATTCTTTCCATTCCAATTTTACTCTTTTCTTGCTACTAGCAATTCATCTTCTGTCAATAGAATTCGCAGGTAAGTCCACCAGGGACAATATCTTCTAAGTCCAGTTCAAAGTGAATTATCATTTGCAGTTAATTTCTACAATGATATGTACAATTTCATAAATATCACAAAGGAGAATTTCTATTAATGATTCACATGTTGCCTTCTGTTACAGAGATCTACTTTTAATTCCTGATGATGACATACATAATGATTTTTGCCTGAGAATCAATTTCTTGTGTTTTCCAAGTGATTGTTGTACACCAGTGAAATCAATTCATGTTTTATTTGTTTTAATTCAAATATGATGAAATTTCGATCTCATGACAGACAATATGTCTATGAAAATTTAAGTCTCTATAGCTCTGGACAGATTTTAACCATTTCATTTTACTCGCAGGCTTAACTAAACAATAATATCCAACATTTGGAGTATATGTATCTTTCTTTCTAAAGTTCATCCATTCCTTCAACATGATATATATAAGACAGTCTCTTGAAAAAAAATCTATGTTTTGACAATAAATGCTTGTTTATATCGCTAATTAGATTCCAGGACTCCATATAAGGAAGTCCAGCTACCGTAAGTGGATACTCTTCTAACTAATACTCTTATTCTAAAGGTTTTTAATTTGCACCAATCTGTCCATGATATTGGTTTTAATTTTAGGCCAAATATGAGAAAATGTATGATAATTACAAGTAGCAAAATAAAAACCCTTCAAAACATCAATAAGCTTTTAGAACCTGACTTTTAACAACAAAATCAATTTTAACTACATTTTTCTAAATTCAGTACTTTCTAATTAACTGTGAGAACAACCATTAACAAGTTGTAAATTGCATAATTTCCTTAATTTCACAAGATTTTAGGAATTTTTTAAAATAAAATTTTAGAAACAGCTGCTAACAATAATCTGCTGTATGCAGTGGCGAGAGCTCAGTTCATGACCTTGTCTATCTATGCCTTGCAGATTCTATTGACTTCCTTGACGATACAGTTTGCACTGATTCCGTACTTTTCTAAAAGTTTAGCACTCGGACCACTTCGGGGAACCTCTGTTACTGCCAGTTTGTGCACCTCAAACTCCTTATATGGGGAAACTGCTGCACATACTGCATCTCCAAGTCCCCCTGAAAGACACCAATACCAAGTTACTGATCACATAACAATTATTGTTGTATGTTCTTGGATTCAATTTGATTCAAGTCCTATTTCTATCTACCATGGCCCGTATTCATGGAACTGTTCTCATGCGCAAGCATGAATTTTGTGCTCAAGTTTAATATCTTGTTTAAGTTAAAAATTAATAAATACGGCTGATTTTGCCGAAGATTTAAAAACAATTTTGAAAGGACTTCAAGTCAAAGTTATATTCAAGGTTTAAATTTGACATTTGTATTGTTTTATATAATTTAGGTGAATCATTAAAAAGTTTGCTTGAGCCCAAAATTTATGCTTGAACATGAGAATGGTTTCATGAATATGTGCCTAAGTCTGTGAACTACACCCTAATACATGAAACAGCAGTCTCGTTTATTGAACTAGAATGGCACAGTATATTAAATGGAACTGAACTCCAGATCAAGACATGATGTTAATCACTAGATATATATTTCTATAAAATCAAAAGTATGCTGTATGATAAATTTCCAAGTTTCAATGTCTGAAACATTTCTGTACCAATGCACCAGATATACAACAGGAACTGAGATTTGCTCTGCAAATCGAGCAAGCATGGACGAAAAAAAATACTTTATATCCTCATCTCCAGTTGAACAGGTACTTACTGTGTCCTCAAATCAAAATACTTAATACAATGTAGTGTTATCTTTCGTGTCCTCTAAATAGATATTTTTTCCATGACAAAGTGTACAGTTTGTAGAGAAGAATCACAGAAATACTTGCCCCAGGTATAATGGTCCTCAACAGTGATGATACGGCCGCCTGTAGCCCTAGCATTCTCTACGATGGTGTCCACATCCAGGGGCTTAACGGTGAAAGGGTCAATCACCCTGATGTTCTTGCCATCAATTTGCAGTTTATCAGCAGCCGTAAGTGCTTCGTGTAGGGTCACAGCGCAGCCAATTACAGTAACACAGTCACTGCTTGACTGTCGAACAACCTGCAATGTCATTCAAAATATTTCTACAAACATATTTCTAGCACATTACAAGAACATACAATGTCAAATCAACTCATTGCATTCATCCATCTATAAGCCTTTTAGAAATTTAAAATTTCTTCACATGTTTTCTAGACATTCAAATTGCCCATCCTGGATAGAATTGTCTGACATTCTGGATGATGTGATACTTTTCTGCTTGATTCTATGTTCAGACAAGAAGTACAAACCTACATGACATTAAAATATTTAACATTTGCTGTTTTAAATTTTGGGGGTCAAATATTCTTTAAGTTTTAATTAACCTATCATTTAATCAGGTCATTATTTATGTAACAAGTTTGTGCCTGCTGTTACAAGCTTGCAACAGGCCAGTATAACATAGTTCCATTAGACCTTCTCATGAAGGGATACCTACAATTAACAGTAAATTGAGAGGACGAAACAGAACATACACATATGATAAAGATGACATTTATAGATTTTGTACAAGGGGGAAATTTCATTGATTTATTTTTGAAGCTTACAATTAAACAAACAGAGGACAAATACCTTAGCCTTTCCGACTTCAAATACAGTATTTGCATCGTAAAGAATGCTGGTTGCCGGGCGACTGGTTCTAACAAAGCAGACTCCCTTGGTGTTAGCTGCTAATTCAATGGCGCGTTCGCATGATACAGCATCACTTGGGTAGAACACAGTTGATCCTGGAATGGAACGGAACATGGCAATATCCTCTAAGGCCATCTGGGATGGGCCGTCTTCACCGATGGACACTCCACAGTGGGAACCTACAAAGTTTGCATTGGTTTGTGAAATGGCTCCCATCCTGATCTGGTCAAAGGCTCGCGTCAGAAAGCAGGCAAAAGTGCTAATGAAAGGCACTGTGCGGTTACGACAACCACATCCAATACCAACGCCGACCAGATTCTGCTCCGCAATGTAGCATTCAATGAAGCGATCAGGGAACCTTTCCTGTAAGTTCAAGAATTCACATTAATACAACTCATAATGCAGTAATCTATTGTCCATTTTCTAATTATCAACTGGTTGTATGTTTTCTGTACCTTCTTAATAAGTTGTGTTAAAATTTCTACACAGTCAAATATTTTTAATAGTACAGGCACAAGAAACAGATGAATGAATGGTTGAACTGACATACCTTAAACTTGATGGCAAATGTTGAATTCTTGGTGTCACCATCCATAGCAACCACCCTGTTGTTATTCTCACCAAGCTTTACCAGGGCTGTGCCATAAGCTTGTCTGGTAGCCACCTGGTAAAAGAAAAATCAAAATGATAAAATCTTAACCAATACTAGGACATATTGAGCCACACTGACCTGATGTCCTGCAGTATGAAGGTGACAGTGTTGTCATTGAGCTTCACAAATGTCATTTTTTCTGATGAAGGTGACAGTGTTGTCATTGAGCTTCACAAATGTCATTTTTCTGATGAAGGTGACAGTGTTGTCATTGAGCTTCACAAATGTCATTTTTCTGATGAAGGTGACAGTGTTGTCATTGAGCTTCACAAACGTCATTTTTCTGATGAAGGTGACAGTGTTGTCATTGAGCTTCACAAATGTCATTTTTCTGATGAAGGTGACAGTGTTGTCATTGAGCTTCACAAATGCCATTTTTTCTGATGAAGGTGACAGTGTTGTCATTGAGCTTCACAAATGTCATTTTTCTGAGGAAGGTGACAGTGTTGTCATTGAGCTTCACAAATGTCATTTTTCTGATGAAGGTGACAGTGTTGTCATTGAGCTTCACAAATGTCATTTTTCTGAGGAAGGTGACAGTGTTGTCATTGAGCTTCACAAATGTCATTTTTCTGAGGAAGGTGACAGTGTTGTCATTGAGATTCACAAATGTCATTTTTCTGATGAAGGTGACAGTGTTGTCATTGAGCTTCACAAATGTCATTTTTTCTGATGAAGGTGACAGTGTTGTCATTGAGCTTCACAAATGTCATTTTTCTGATGAAGGTGACAGTGTTGTCATTGAGCTTCACAAATGTGACAGTGTTTTCTGAGCTTCACAAATGTGAAGGTGACAGTGTTGTCATTGAGCTTCACAAATGTAATTTTTTCTGATGAAGGTGACAGTGTTGTCATTGAGCTTCACAAATGTAATTTTTCTGATGAAGGTGACATTGTTGTCATTGAGCTTCACAAATGTCATTTTTCTGATGAAGGTGACAGTGTTGTCATTGAGCTTCACAAATGTCATTTTTCTGATGACAGTGTAGTTATCAAAACATTGATTGAATACCAATTTTCTGAATTGTTTTCATACAAGAACATCTATTCAATATACATTTCCAACATTAAGAAATATTGTGGTACCAAATAGGAAAAAATTTTATTAATTGCTTTTGTTTGCCCAGATGGAAGCATCCTAGGGATCTGACTAATGGAGGAAACAGACTATGCTGGCAGAACCCACATGGTCCAGCAGGTGACCCCATACATTTTCATGTATGTTCCGAGAATCGAACCCAGGACACTTAACTGAAAGACATGTGCATTTCCATTGGGCCATCCAAACACTGTTGTGTGAGGGTACATTTTTAACCATTTTATCTGTTTGATGCAATGTTTGCAAAATCTCCTGCGTTGATAAGCACATAGACTGATGAAATAGCCAGCATGGTGAAAATAACTTACATTAGTATGTCCTGTCATGGAGAGTTACATACCTTGTCACCTTCTTTGTAGGTGGGAGGAGTAGACAATTTGATGTTGGAAATATCGACTTCTGGGACAGGGGTAGGAGTTGGTGGGGTGATGCCATGTGGTCCTGGATTACTAATTTGGCTGGAAATTGCCTGTCTAGTCACCTCTGATTGGGCACCAAGTGGTTTGCCATGCCAGTTCTCCTTGTCTGCCACATCTGGACAAGGTCAAACAGAGGTCAATCAGAAACAAGCAAGATTAACAAACAACACAAAACAATGATAAGATCAATAAATTTTGAGTTGCAAAGGTTAAAATATTCTTTGGTCCACTGAAAGCTTAAAGCAACTTCTCCTTATATCTTATTTTCGAAGTAAAATTATCTGTTTTTAATGACTTTACATCCTAGAAAAAAGTCAAAACCAGAACTTGTTTAATAAAAAAAAAATCCTTACAGAATCTATCTATTTATAACCAAAAATTAGCTATCCTAATGTACTTTTTTATCCTGCAATTGGCATTGCCATTGTCAGAATACACCTGCCACATATATTTTTACTGTATTCATCAGTGACTGAAAGGAGCTGTATTTCAACATGTGCAGCAATTTGAAAGAATTACTTTCTGAATTTGTTAAATATTACATTTAGAAATATAAGTAGTTGTTGAAATAAGCAATTTTACATGTTGTAATGAATAACTTAATTTATGAAAAAATTCATAAAATCTGATGAAGGTTGGAACTATGTGTCTGTGCTTAGCAATCATTTTGGCGTCTGTCACACAGAATGGACAACAAACGGTTACGGTATAGCACAAACAACATTGACATTAAATTAAGTGTGTAGCTAAGGTTTCTCTGATTTTGATCCTCAGCAAAACAACCTCAATAAGAAACGTAAATAACAAATTTTTGTGACATTTTACTAATACATATAATTTAATTTTTTTCCTGTTTTTAAATTTCATTCCAAAACCGATACCTTACTTAGAAATAGAGGTAATATTCTGACATTTAAATTCCTAGACCACTGTAAGACATATTCACCCTATAGCTCGAATTCATGCATTTACAATCAATTTTCATCAAACACACTCTCTCATATTCAGAGTAGAAGCAGATTCTTCATGCCTCAAAAGGTGTTGGTAATATAGGTGTTCAAAGACTTTTTTAAACGATTTTTAACTATAAGAAGCCAGATACAGTGTAGAAGGTCAAACTTAAGGCCTTCCACTATTGCAGTAGTATACATACTTGGTCCACCTTGTCCTTTGAAGGTCTTGGCCACAATACAGGTGGGCTTGCCTTTGACAATGGAAGCTTCATGGAATGCTTTACACAGCTCCTCCACACTGTGTCCCATCACAACATAGGTATTCCACCTATCAAAGACCCATATTCAAGTGTCAGGATACAATCAGTTTTCTGGTGTAAAGATATTCTGATGAAAATACCACCATTATAGTGTTTTTTTCCTGTTACAGTATCTTACAATGCATATCACAATACATCCCTTTTGTACAGAAAGTGTTTTAATGCATTTTTAAATATTGAAAAAAAAAATGACTTGCATTCTTTTTGTATATTTTGAAAAAATATTTGGATATCTGTTGGAATGTACAGTATTTAAAAAAAAGTTGATGATTTTGAAAGTTATGCATAAAAATACACAAATTCTAGATATAAATAGACTGATTCAGGATTTAATTGTTACAATAACCATTGATTCATGAAGAAAAAGCAATAAAACATATACATCTTCATATCAATACAATGGCATTCAAGTTTACCCAAAGCTCTCAGCCCTGGCCTTATAAACTTCAAGGTTGTGTTGAAGACTGGTGGGTTCACTCTGTCCAAGACGGTTCACATCAAAGATGGCCACAACATTATCCAAGTTGTAACGGCTAGCAAAGGCCATAGCTTCCCAAATCGAGCCCTCAGCACTCTCCCCATCCCCGATCACACAGTACACACGGTAGTCAGCATTGTCCAGGTACTTTCCTGTGTAAGCCATGCCCACAGCAACACTCAGACCCTGACCCAAGGATCCTGTTGCCACATCAACAAAGTTGAGACGAGGGGTTGGATGTCCCTCCAGGTCAGAGTCCAGTTTCCTCAGATTCAGGAGTTCATCAGTTGAAAACAGTCCTGCCTCGGCCCATGCTGCGTACAGTATTGGGGCAGCATGACCCTGTATTGTAGAAAAAATACTACAAATTTTACAGCCAATACAAGTGGGTGTCAAAAATTTTTAATTTATAGACCATAATTTCTTGAGATTAAAGCCTAATTATACAAAACTTTCCATAAACAAGAGGCCCAAGGGGCCTTAACTGTCGACTGAGGAATATATGTCAATAATCTGGGGATTTTAAAATGTTGCAAAAATGTAACAACACTTGTGCAGAACCATGTGTAAAACATCTGTACCAAGTTTGAACATGACCCACCCAATGGTTCTTGAAAGGAAGTCCATAATGTCTTAACCAAACAGAGGCCAGGGTGGCCATCTTGGATTTTGAATCACTCCAAAAAGATAAAACACTTGCAAGGACCTTGTGTAGAACATTCGTATCAAGTTTCCCCTATTGGGGCCACGCCCTTTTTGTTTGCAAACTTGAAGCGGTTTCCCATGGGGATGCTTTGTGCCAAGTTTGGTCAAAATCCATCTACTGGTTCTTGAGAAGTAGTCATTTAATGAAGGTTTTTACATATGGCCCCTTTTACACCCCTTATGGACCCCAAAGGGGACATTATCACTTTTTTCAACATAATTTCATATGTCCTTCACTAAGGAATGCTGTCTACCAAATTTGGATGAAATCGGTCAAAGCTGAATTTTCGACCCTTTTGAGCGCCCCCTAGTGGGGCCGTTTTTGACCCGATTTTTTTTTCATTCGCAAACTTTGTAGACCTTGCCATAAGGACCCTAAATATCAAATATGAATTTAATCTATTGGGGCCACACCCTTTTTTTTCGCAAAGTTGAAGTGGCTTCCCATGGGGATGCTTTGTGCCAAGTTTTGTCAAAATCCATCTAATGGTTCCTTATGGACCCCAAAGGGGACATAATCACTCTTTTCAACATAACTTCATATGTCCTTCACTAAGGGATGCTGTCTACCAAATTTGGTTGAAATCGGTCAAAGTTGAATTTTGAATTTTTTTTTCATTCGCAAACTTTGTAGACCTTGCCATAAGGACCCTAAATATCAAATATGAACTTAATCTGACTGTTGGGGATGCTTTGTGCCAAGTTTGATCAAAATCCATTCAGTGGTTCTTGAGAAGAAGTCGAATATGTGAAAAGTTAACGACGCACGACGGCTCAGGTGACCTAAAAACTGAAAAGCAAATATAACCTATTCATATGGATACAGTAAGAATTCATTGACTGAGAAATACTTGCAACAAAAATGTGTGCTGATATTGATATAAAAGCTGTTGATATTAACTTTAAAAAAAAAATATGCCTTATTCAGACTACACAGCAAGCCCTTAAAAGACATACATCTGAATTGTACCTGCAATATGACATCACAAAATCCATGCATCATGCGTTACATCACACTTTACTTGTTAACACACCTTCTACACCTGTACATTTGAGTACGTAGATTGGCCACACGTTTATTTTGTGGTGACATTCTAAACTTTCTACAACACCAGTTTGTATTTTAAGTGAGACCCACTTAAATTAATTCTTATTTCTTATGATATCACCACCTACTATTTATTTATAGACACCACTCAGTCTAAATTTAAAAAATTTTTATCTTTGCATGATTATCAAGGGGAATTTTACTCCGAATTTTTCTGAATCTCCTACAGTTGCTGCACAATATGTATATTTTCGTTAACCTGAAATAACCTACCAAGTCACTACAAGCTAAACAATGACTAAACACCATGGTCCCAAAAGGATGCAAGGTATCAGTAAAAGGGGCATAACTCTCAATAAATTCAAAGCTCTTTGATAGCAGTTGATGTACCTAGTTTCACACAAACTTGTTTAGTGAGTTTTATGATTATAATTAAGGACAAGCATTTTTCGATAGACATCCTGATCCCAGTGTTACCGTTTGTAATTTACCTACAATAGGGATAGCAGCCTCCAGACAGACTTTAAACATGAAGCACGCAAATTTGGTTACACAGCGTCCTCAATGAAGCATGTTTCCAAACGTCATAATTTATCAAAAAAAAAAAAAAAAAAATAAAGTTGTTAACCATTTATGACATAACCCTTCTAAATGTACCTATGTGACAAACAATAACGAGAAGTTCTTGAATTTTTTTTTACAGGATCAACTTTTAAGATAAATATTAAAGAAAGCATCCTTTTCCATGTCAAATTGAAGTCACTTTAGGTCAACGTTTATTTGTCTCAATAGTAATGTCAAATTGCTATGTTAGATGTTAGTGTTTGACATCATTTTATAGTTAAGTCCTGATGTCAGATTAGGTAATAAAACACAGGTTCACAAAATAATGTGGCAAGAATTAAGATATGTTATTATATAATAATTAGTTTTGAATGAAACATATTTTAAAACTAATCAGATATTTTTTCTTCAAAATTTACACAAGTTTTCTTTCCTGAACAAAAAAAAAGTGAACTAAACCAGCAACCTACCTTGGACAAGATGAATCGATCGTTGGATGGACTGCGTGGCTCTTTCAGACTGTACCTCATGGTGTTGAAGAAAAGGACAGACATGATTTCTGCCATGGACATACATGATGATGGATGCCTGTAACAGAAAATTTAACATAGTTTTAATTGATCCTCTTCTTACATCATTGTAGTTTGACTATATCCGCAACGTTTATTTTCTTGTTGCTTGAATTCCTATTGACCACAAGGGTCACTTAAGGACATGACAGGGTTATGAGGTGGAGGGAAGCCATAGTTCCTGGAGAAAACCCATCGACCTGTGACCAGTACCTGATGACTGCCCTATGTCAGCCTTGAATCTGCAACCGAGAGGTGGAAGGATAGTGATAAAGGCAGTCAGATACCTTACCCACTCGCCCACCACAATGATCTTTCACATTGCTATCCAATTGAAATACTGATACATACAGGCAAGTATAGATATATACTATCTCAGGAATCAAGGAGGTCTTCAATGTGATGGCTTGATTATAATGCAACCTTTGATGAAGATCCAGGTGGTGTTGTTTGGTCCCTACCAAAGGAAATTTGTGTTTTTAAGAGAGTGGAGATCACAAATCATCCACTACCATCCTGGTTGTGTCCTTTGGTAACATTCTTGTGACTGGCCTCCTGCATAATGTTCAGTGAGGTAGCCATTACCTACACTATACCAATTCCCCCCTCCTCCCCCCTAAAAATGACCTTGACTGCTCGCAGATTGATACACCCAACAAACAAACTGTTTACTAAAAGTGATCGATGAAAGTTACAAGTCTGTAAAATACTCATTTCAGATTCAAATAAAATGCATTTTTTTCCAGGAATATTTCAGGTAAATGTGAAAGGTTATTGAGGCTAAGATTTCACTATAAACATTCAATAACAGAACCAACAACTGTCGACACCTGTAACATTTAAAAATGATGTTATTTTATTGTAAAATAATTCGTTAAAAAATCTTAAATCAATAAGCTTCATGAAAACTGTTCAAGTGCAGAAATACAAATTGTATAACTATAGGTTTGTCAGTTAGAAATGTTTAAGCTGAAAGCTGAACTTACTGTAATTTCTAAATACATGAACAGAAAACAGTTTACAAGAGTTGGGTGTTTAAATTCTCCGACATTTTATTGTATTGTAAGATCACAGTCCTTCTTTGCAACCTTTTTCTGTCTATTGTCATTTTTTACTTTTAAGTCTCACTAAAATATATCATTTCCACCTGATATTGGATTTGAATTCTAGTGACATGGGATGTTATGAATACCTCAACAGGCACGGATGTAAGGTAGTTACATTGATCACAAACCTGACGGTGTCCATTACCTGGATAGACTAGGGATATGAGGCAGTTTTACTGATCACAAAGAACCACAGCTCACATTATGGACAAAAATATAACATTACCATAGGGTCGGACAAAAAAGAATCTGTCACATGTCATGTCAACTGATTCATTGTATAACAAGGTAACATTACTGAAAACCCTTTTGATTGTATAGAAACTGCTGCTCAGACAGTGACAAAAAATAGAGGATGTTGTACCATGTAACATAAGCTATAAGCAGTCCTGTGAACTAAGACATAACCTGATTACAAGATAACGAAGTAGGATGTTGTGAACAAAAAGAACATTGTGGGCGGTGTCAGGAAAAAGACTTTCAATTAGATCAGGTGTAAATTTCGTTTGAAAACTTGAAACTTGGCATTTCTGCACAAATTTCACACTTAACAAAAATGAAACCATGTTCGTTATAGTGGATCATTTTATATCAAATGCACAATCTGTGCCATGTCATGATCAACCCACTACTACTATGACATTAAAAAAACTATTGGTGAAGAGAGCTTGTGAGCCACTCATTAATTTGTACCATCCATTTGGGAATGGTGGCGCCTACAACACTAAAAGGAACGACTAAGACCATTTTTATTCCAGTTTACTGATGTTTGGGAAGCCCCCTTTTTATTCTAGCTGGCGACAGCTGTACCCTCACAGCACGGGGTAGAGTATTGTTATCTTTCATTAAAATTGCAATATAACAAATGACATTGAGAAAAATACTTTAACCAGCTTTCTGCAACCAAGATTAAATACATACATGAAATCACCTCACCAAAACACACCAAAATTCAGTTTTACCCAACTAGTAACTGGAACGTAAAAATGCGTCACAAAACTCACAAACTACAGATTAATTACACTCCTCAAGGATCAGAATGGTTTAAAAGTGAAACTTTACACTATCCAATATCAGATATGTATATGTCTGTCACGAAAACAGTCATGTCACAGGGTATGATAATACACTTTCCTGCAATAGCTGGTAATTGCTGACCTCAGACTTCAGTTGGTAAATAACTCACAAGAACTAAATTACAACTACAGCGAGATGTTATGGTTCAGTAACTTTTGTTTACTTTTTATCCTATCAAACAATTTTTATAAAGGTTCTTTTCATCCCTATCAGGTTTCTCTACATACCAAAACCTGCCCACTCATTTTCCTGTCATTTCTTGGTCTGCTTTCTATACACTTGTTATTTGTTATTTCAAGAATTGTATAAAAACTGAGAAAGATATCTTCAAAATAAAATTACGGGTAATAGACAAAATTACAGCCTATTACATGGTCTCCATGAACGAACATCTCTCTTGTTTCAAAGTTTTAGCGAATCCTTGAAAACTACAACCAAAGGGACAATTACCTTTCAAGTAACTGATTCATGCCTTACTGGCTTACATGCTGAAATGCTTTAATGGTGAATATTTTTTTTCAATGATAAATGTGCTAGTGAAGCAAAATTCTCTCAAACATACAAATGTTTAATATGTAAATGACAAAATATTTCTGAAGTTAAAAATAAAAATGTTGTACCATTAAGTACTCAAAATAACTTCAGTATCAATTTAATTACTTAAACCCATTAAAATATTTCCACACAAACCTTACAACTTTTTTATAGAATCTGTCGACTGTGTCACTTTTTAAGTGAATCGGTTCCGCTTGACTGATAATACATTTTTGGTACTTATTTTGTGGCAATATTTTATGTTGCTTTAGGGGATATAATCTTTTAGTAATTTCTGAAACAGGATACTAACTTGTAAAGGACACTTGAACATTTCCCAGAAATGTTTACAACATGATGTCTCTTTCATTTATACATGTATGGTAGACAAGTCCGACTGACTTGGCTGGTTGGTTACAGTTCTCATTTATTGAGTAAATCATAGGTGACCATGCATACACTGTAGGGCAGTTAGTAAGAACATCCAATTAGAGTTTGTGAGATATTGGGCTGAAGTTCTGTTTTCTTCATAATACTCATTTTGTATAACAGGTACCTACCATTTCCTGTTTCATTTATTGCTGGAAGATTTCAACGAAAGTAATCTAGTATCAAAAATAAGGAAAATACATGAACACAGAGAAAAGCTTTATATCATAAAACATTGTCTATATATTACATGATATACTAAGTAATGATATGAACAGCATTTTAACTGCTGCACAACAATGTTTACATAATTTTTCTGTTAATGTTTGGTTTTAAGTTCCTCCCAACAGATTCAGTCATTTGAAGACAGAGTCCAATGATGATAGGGGATCCCATCCCATGCCGTCATAAACTAGATTTAGTAGTATGACACCACCCCTGGTCAAATTTTATTGACAAATGGCAAACTAACGCTTACAGCAACTGGGAAGTACCAATCTTACGGACTTTAGATGGCCTCAGTTTAGGAACAGAACCCATAATTTATATCCGAAAATTTAGTCACCTCGTATGATCATGCAGTAGGAAAAAGCAAGCATAATACCTATTTTTGTATTCAGCTCTACTTACAGGCACTGACAGTAAGAATGAATCTATTTGACAACATTACAACAGACGGAATATATTGTGATATTTGTCACTTGTGTTCCACCCTTGTGAGACACATCCACAAGTTACATGAGGAATTTATGCATCTGAAAGCAGATCATCAGAATAAATTCTACGATCTTTTCTGTATATTTTGAAAGGAAAAAAAATCCTTTAATATTCCAACAAAATGCCAAACAATAATACAACAACATCAATTGAAATATATTAATGTTTTCAATGCAAAAATGATGAATGATTTTGAAAATCTTTGACCTTCAGTATGACATTTGCCTGTACCTTCCACATAAAACCTTACCCTGTGCCTGCAGCATCTGTGCTCTTGATGCTATGAATCCTCAATTTGTTGGCAATGTCCTTCAATGTTTGAATTTTGCCTGTTTCATCCATTTTCAAAAGCCGTTATTACGTTTCCAGTAAGAAACTAATACAATCATAAACTCCTGTACAGTTCAATGATTCTTCTAGTACCGTGCGTTGTGTTGTATTGTGCCAACGATCTGACGATGGACCTACTTTGCTAGCTGTCGAGAGTGTCCTGCATCAGCTAGTACACATTATACCTATATATATAAAACGTGAAACGATACCCCAATACACCTTCAGTAAACTGTGACACTCTAATTTTATTCACATTATTACATCTAAGTGAAGACTAATATCCTGTCCACACAAGTCCCACGTCCTCTTCGGATGTGACAATCATCAGGTGCTGTCCCTGGATAGGCCTATATGCTTAAGATTTCCTTTCCTCATGGTAGACTTACAGATAATACACGAGTATTATGTCCCATCAAACGTCTTTCATGTTCTTTAATATTTACCGATAGCATTAACTACTCACTTAATTGGAAAATTCTTGTTAGCCATGTTCCCTATTAATCTATAAACATCAAATTCCACCTGGCCACTTCACATAACTATGAAATATCAACTGCAGCTGTGACGGCTATATTGACACAAACACTGAACAATTATGACACTTAATTTGACAGGGTCAGTATTTCAGAGACGTCACTGCAGGTTTAGAAAAATATGAGTACAGCAAATAAAGTTTAAAGTTTTCGTTTAAAGAAAAATTCATAATTTGAAGAAATAGATTACCTGGATTAACTCTATAACCTGGAACTAATCTTTAAGAATATAGAGAGGAAGGCTACATATTTAAAAACATCCTGAAAAGAGTCAGACTTTAACCTTGATG